TTACTCGAGATATTTATTTTCATTTTTCAAGGATTTCTTTAATTTTATTAAAGTTAATGTAAGTAGTAAAATTAATTTGCTACAGATAATTTTGCACTAAAAATTTTACTCATTATATGATGATAAAATAATAAGAGAGCACACCTTATAAAGTTATTGTTATTAACGATTTTTACTAGTTAGCAATCAAAAAAAAAATCTTTCCTCATGCTATGTATCTGTATCATGCTGTAAATCGTTGTCTACTGGACGGTGTGAAATTTTTTATCATTTATCAAAAATGATGTCCGTATAATTTATGCTAAAAGAATTTTACTTTTTTAACTTAACTATAACTATTTGAATTTTATTTGCTTTTAATGATAATAGTTTTATCAGATAAGTTATAAAACACATTAAAAACAGTCATCTTCCTTTCAATTGCACGTTTAGATCTTCATTCTCACATAAAACTAATGGAATTTTAATATTTTTATTAAAAAACTTTATTTCACATAAAAAGTAGCGTTCCGTAGCTTATACTATTTGTACAGGTAGGTTAGGTTCCAGCCTCGAAAAAATTTTTGTGTTATATAATTTGTATATATTTATAAGACAACAATATATCCTAGAAGTTTCTTATAATTACTTTCTTAAAGTAAAAAAAAAACATGTGTGTACGTATTTCGGTACTATCAGTTTAAGAAAGTTAATGATATTATTAATAATTATTTATTGTTCAAATATAGCACGAGTGACGTTCCATGTGTTTTGTGTTTCACTTTTCAGTCTTTTACCCGACTGCGCCAGAAAGAGGTTATGTTTTTCGAGAGTATGTATGTATGTTTTGTATGTTAGGTTGTAGAGAGAGTATGTATGTATGTTAGGTAATAATTGTTTGGCACGCTCCACAGCCTGAACAGCTTGATGGATTTTTGCTTGAGAGGTGTCGTTAGATTCGTATTTACTTTGAAAGTGACACTGGGTATATCAAAATAAAAAATACACAGAAACCATTATATACATTCCTCTTGTTTCAATGTGAGAGAGTGGCAAGTGAGCTGGCGGTTGACCTGATGTTAAGTGATAACCGCAGCCCATCGACATGTGCAACACCCGTAGGGTTGTAGATGCGTTGCCACCTTTTAATAAAGTGGGCCTTCACAATGTATCTAAAATCTATTTAATTAAAATAACGATTCTTTATGAAATCAATAATTGGAAAAGTCTATAGACGATTATGTTGCGACCTTTGCTCATGAACTACAAAAAATTCAAAAAATTCATTTATGCATGAACATGGCCATACAAAAACTGATCGTTAACATGGAAATGATATTATTTTATGTTCACAATTTAATGTAATCCTACAAATACAAATGTAAACAGGTAGTGTTTACATTTGTGTATACTGCCTGTTTATGTTTATATCAAGTTCACCGTGCGTTTAAAATTTTAATTTAACGACTATATACAGTATGTTTAATAAATATAATACCGAAAAGAGTTTTACGAGAGATATAGTATGCTGATCTACTGATGTATCTCCTTATTCATTACCACCACCTATTAACAATGAAATCATTCGTAAGGTGCGAGTTGCTTACTTTCCAAACAGAAAAGTCTTGTACACATACGGCGCTGCAACCCAGCTCTACCAATTTTATTGGATTTTTGGAAAAATAGATACGTTATCCTCCCCATTTTGAGCTGATATTTTTATCATCTAGTCTGTAAACTTAGTATATAGTGCATCCTGCGCTGTTAACATTATGTTATAGATAGTAAATATAAAAATAAACTAGTAGAGAAACATCGCTGTGCAGCCAATGATTAAATTAACACAACTGTTCTTATATTTATTTTGTTTTTTCCAGGTATGATCATACCAGGCTGAAGGTGCGAAGTTTTTTCATTTCATATTATTAAAAAATGCCCCCGTGTTAAGTGGTTTGTATTAAAATGTGCTCTAAGTGATTAGTCAAAGTTATTCTTTGTTTTGTAAAGGCAATGACACGATAGAATGGTTTGATCATCTCAATGATTTAAATAAAGTTGCACAATAAAACGAATGGGAAAAAGATACGTTAAAAAGGTACGTTAATAAATTTGTGTATCCAAAAAAGGCTGAGCTTTTAATAAACACTTGTGCCGTAACGATCTCATTCTAACGTCGAGGTGAACGGGCTGGAGTTATTTTTCTTTGTAGGCTATGTCGAAAGCGTCTAATACATCTCGATGTGGGGAATTGCCGGTAGAGTTGCGCGCGCATCAATATCAGCGCGCAGGACCCACCCTCGCCAAGCATTACGAATGGACAGACACTCTTTCCGAAGGATTTTTATTGTAATATCTGAGAGAAATATATATAAAAAGTAAAATTATTGAAACATTGAAAATCGAGAAGAACAGCCACAAATATTGTTGACGAGATTGGCAGTTGTTAGAAATCTCAAACGATTACAACAGTGATTTTGACGCGGACCGATGAAAGTATATTTGAAGATATACTTTGAAATCTCGATTGTTGTTTTAAATGGCGATTGCGAGCTGATGCAGGCACGTTGGGTGAAGAAAAGCGCAATGCAAGTCCCTACTTTTACTTAGTGTGATGTTGGCCGCCTCTGGACATTTAGGTGGTCTTTGGCTACTTCAGGGCCCGGTAGAGGCCGCGACATATCACGGCACATCAGGTTTCGCCGGCGGTAGAAGCAGCGGGTGGACATCCTACGTAACTCGCGCACTTCCATATTGAATATCAAAGTAGCATTCAACTTATCGAGGAGACATCTCATCGGCGTCCAGGTGAGTAGCGATCGAAACGGAGGCACTGCAGCGCTTCTGGTTTACGCACGGAATGTTCTAGCGCTCACGCTCGATAATACACGTCGGCGGCGTAAATAATTCGAATATGGAAAGAACCCTTTAAAGACACAATTTAAAATGCTTATCATATCGCTGTCGGTAGATTTCATTTAGATACGTCGACACATCCGCCGCAACGTCGCCTTTGTATAGAATCCGCCTCCATTATTGTCTGTGAAACGTTAATGACAGTGTTACGTCTTGTAGGTACTTTATCTATCAGAAGTGTTCGTTTTGCACTAATACGATTTGCCTACTTTGTCTATCGATCCGGTTTGTGGTAATCTGTAGTGATAGGGACTTTTACACGATGACTGTACGGTACGGTGACTCTACGTAGATATATACTAACTTCAGTAAAACTATAGAGGAGCCAACGAAATGTATAACTAACTACTATATTTATATCATGGCAACCAAGTCTTTTTTTCTTATTCAGTCTTTATTTTTAACTTGTACTAAATTTTATTTACATAAACACTCGTTATATAGTGGTGTGGTTTTATAAACAGATTTTCTAATAGTCTCTCCTTCTGTTCCTGTGAGTAAAATTTAAAAATATTATCTGCAAAAATTACAATGTCGTTGTTCGAAGAATTCAAGCTAAATTCGAGGAAATTATTGACCCTAATTGTTGGGATGATATATTTGGAAGTGAGTCAAACATTGCGCAAATTGGAGCTCGCGACAGTTCCGCCCCCATACAGAAGACTGACATCTACGTCTCAGTTTGTGTCACATTACGGTCATACAGCGTAAATCTTTACCACTTCATACTCAAACAGACTCTAAATTTACTACTTAACTACTTAACTCTCTACTAAATTTTATTTGAAGATTCTTTTAAGAATCACCCACGCTTTTAACAAATGTTTCACTAAATATTGTGGTTTGCATTTCTCGACAGGGTCTTTATAATTGTGACTCGAACATGTTCTAAACACGATAACTACGTTTACTGAAACGCTAATTTTAAAATAGTAATTAGTAAGCCGTGGTAATTTAAAATTCGCCGTGAGTCATGCCGTGAAAGACTCACCACCGTCGATTTTATTTCGTGTTTGTATACAAAATAAAGTTCTATAAAACGACCTTCGAAGTCATTGTTCACACAATATTTATTCAAATAAATAGATTTAGAGATTAATTTTATAATTAATCGGATGATAAAACGCAGCTATAGGTAATTTCACAAATGTATCATTCACTTTAGTTTATTGTCAATTAATATAATGTATACAAATTTATACTGATCTATTTTATATCAAGCAAAATATTTTATATCAATTTGACAAAAATTGAAATTTCACGTTGTTTCATAGTGAAAACAATAAAAAGTAACTTTAATTCTACTGACCCAGATATTTACAGAACATAGATTTATCAACATAAGATTTGCCTTGTATTTTTGTAAGCCACGATAATAAATTTTGATAATCTTTGAAAAATTTATTTTAAATCGAAATCAATGGATTATAAACAGTCCAAACCCAAAAAGTGGGGAAACCCAGTTTTTTTTATAACCATTATGATCCTTTTTTATCAATAATGTATTTTACATAACAGTAATGCATATATAAATTATTAATTTATGTTACTATTCATAAGTGAACACTAACTACATTGCTTATTCAATGAACTGTCATCGTTTTTGTATTGATCTGAAATACTTTTAAATATGTAAATGTATCTATATAATTATAGAGCTATTGCATTCGGCAATAATATTTATTAACACAAAATTTAAGAGTAAATATTTTACAATTTATGGTTATGAGTTTGAGGTAAATTGAGAACAATTATTTTAATTAAGTTTAATATATAATAAGCTTTACACTAACTTTATAAACAATATATACATCGGTAAATACTCCAATCACTGTATTGTTAGTTTGTTAGTATTCTTATTAAATAGTGTCTTCTAAGAGTTTTATAACGAAACGTTATTATCTGATTAATCTGGATGTACCAATGCATTCACCTTCCTGGTATTTGGCTGTTTGGCTAACACACACCGCCACAAACTCGACTTTAACGTATTTGCTTTTGTACAAAGTATTTTTATACGAAATGTCCGCGTTTCGACGAGATGGCACTTTGCCATTACAAAGTTATTTCAATTTCTTTCCAATCAATCCAGACTGGTTTGTGAGCTATCCTATTCTTTGGGGGAAGAAGTTGATAGCCTCTTGGCTTCTCTGCGGCGGAGGCGTGGCGGGAATCTCATGTTGAGGCTTGAGGAGCCAAGGGTTATCCGTTCCTTGCGGGCTTCCATCTGTTTTCTTCTGACCGCCGTCAGATGGCGTCAGGTGCAAGTGAGGCGGCTGCGCCTTCGGGCACAGCGGCGGTCTCTCGGACATTGGTTGCATGTTCCCTGGATAAAACGTAAAGCAATATTTATAACTTCTTTGCGTCAATTCAGCGTAGACCGCACATTAGTGAGAATGGACGCATAATTTACAAGGGGTTTGGCGATGTTTTGCTTGTTCAAAATAAACAGCTTATAATTGAAAGGTGACGAAATCATTTCTGTATTTTGTATGTGACGTTTTCTAGTATTTTTAATCTATCATAATTCGAATGACAAAGTATGTTGTTACGTTCCCTTTATTGAATATCATTAAAAGGAGTGGTGGGTGCTCAGTTTTTCTATTTTGTTTTTGGTATACGCTACTCATATGACTAAAAAATGTTATGCTCTACACTCAATTGTCGTCTCAGTGTAGGTTAATCAAGGACATATCACTTACTAAGATTGATACTTGTTATGTTCATCGTTACAAAGTAACATGCAATGTACGCAATTGGTGTCGCTATATTTACTAGAAAACTATTTAGGGCTATAAAAATTCATCTACAAACTTGAAATATTAATTCTGCTTTTCAATATTCCCTGATAGAGTTGATGCTCTATTCTAAATAAAACAAATAAATAAATTTCTAACAAATATTTTAGACAAAATTTACCATTTTGAATATATTGTTCTTTGGAATAAAATCTAATATCTACCAATATAGAGTCAACTCCGTATATATACACATATATAATGAATTATTGTGTACTTAAATGCACAAAAATAATAACTGAGCACAATACTAACGATTTAATGGTAATAACATAACAAAGGCACTCACTTTGATAGTTCAGATTTAGACTAATGTTTTCCAACCGTGAACTGATAAATTCAACACCGTTTACGAACATCGGATACTGCGCACGGGCAACTCGACTCGTCGTGGGTAGTGAAACGTGTGTGCCGGCCGGTTCCCGCCACCGTTTTATATTGGCCGTATCGTTTGGCAACTGTTGCCACGGTATACGTCACGCGCGATGGTTGACGCGGGAAATGTGACGCCAGCAAGCAACAACGGTCGCTGCTTTAGGCTTACGTCTACGTAAAAACCTTAAGCGATGTCGTCTCTCGATAAACGGTTTTATCAATTTTTCTTGATGAAAAACTGTTATTGAAATTAATTTCACCGCCTCCGTTTAGATGTGTTTGAGATGGATGCTTAAGTTTTGTTTACTTTTGCACTTAACTTGGTTAAATCAATGTCATTATACATTATGAATAAGACTTGACAAAGATAAGTAGCTTTGTCAAGTCTTATTATTAAATCTGAAATTTGTTTCCTGAATGTTCTTGGTTTTTTTTAGTTTAATGAATAAGTGTCATTCCCACGACTGACATGAAATTGGCAGAATTCTATTAGGAGAGACTGTTAATCAAAGAAGAAGAAATCTGAAATTTAATTTAAGATTGAACTTCGAAAGAATTTAAAATAAGACTGAACGAATTGAATAAGAAATTAGAAATTGATGTCTTTTAATCTTCGATTAAGAATAATAACAGTTGTTATTGTTGATCGAAGCTTCTAGTGCAATTTGGTTAAGCAAGATTGCAACACAGATAAAGCGCTACGTTTGAACATTATTATCAAAACAAAATATTAAAAGCAGTAGATTGATGATTTAAAATGTAATTGTACCTTGTTGTGTTTTTTATCTTTCGATGTATATAGCATATAGTCACCTATGGTCACGTAACATTATAGACGCATATGTGAGTAATGTGGTATTGACGTCATATTATCTTGATGATTCTAGTAATGGAACAGTCTTCAAACAGTTTTTAATGCAGTCTTAGTCATGATCTCGAAAACAGTATATCGAAATAATTCGGACTATTTACACAAAGCCTTTAATGATGTCTAGCGATAATTCTGCGACCTTACTTTTATCAGACAACTTGAACCATTGCGATAATGGCACTTTACTAATGTAAGCAGTTCTTATTGCTTGTACTTCCTCTTTGTCACCGCTTTTACTGTCATGATTCAGCCATAAGAACCGAAAGGCGTAAACAAAGGTTAAAAGGCTGCGCCTTCGTAAAGTGATTCCTAAGAATAGCTTATACGGGTGTGTCGGTATAATATTCGTCACTCCCGTACTTAATAAAACTTTTTGTATAAATTACTATTAAATTTAATTTTTACTAAGAAAGTTTTTTTAATGGAACAATTTCTTTAAGTGAGACACTTGTGAAAGAGTTGGTGGTTCCAGGTGAACCATGTTAAGTGATTACCGCCGCTTTCGGATCCCAACGGATTGCAGCTGTATTGCAAATCTTCTAGAGTGGGGCTCTGATTATTTTGCAAATGAGGTAATCAGATTGGACAGATGGTCTGTGAGATTCTGCTACTTCCTCGAGCACTGTCTGTCATACCAGCAACAGCCGAAGCTGATGCACGACTCTATCTTAGTATTGGAGTAACTAAGTATTTTTGAAATAGTTTCGCGTAATGTATTGATTTGTTATATTTTATACTTCTTTTTTGCGCCAAAAATTTGTGACGAAAATATACATAGATGATCAGCTTCGAATTTTTCGCGACTGTGTCAAAACCAAAAAGGGAAGGTGATGTATTTACTGTATGTATACATGTGTCCGTCTCTACATAATATATTTCCTAGTGACTTCTAAACGATTTAAAGGATTTTTATGTAAAATATGTTATTGGATTCGTCCTTATTGCGCGAATGTCACTGGGTGTATTACAAAATTGAAAAATCAAAATGGCTGAATTTTTTCTGAGACATTAATTCACGTTTGTAATGGGTTCACAATATTTTTTTTAAACGGGATTGTGATTTACAGCGTTTTCAAATACTATCAAAGTAACTAAATAAATTTAAAATTGTTTATAAATCTTGAAACATTAACTACTGTACAATTCTGTTTGATTCATGTCATATTTTTTTAGAATCATTTTCTTTACTATTTTTACTCTACAGTCACGCAAAGTGGTTGACGTTGGTTTTGTTTTCGAATTGAAAAAGAAATAAGCAACTGCGTTTTTATTGTGATTTATGATTTCTTAACAGAGTTACAGACGTACCTTTGAATTATTTTGAAAATAGTCGTACAATGAAAGATTACTAACTAAAAATAGCAGCCGAATACACACCCGGGACCGTGTGATGTTTGTGTACACGTATAATGAACTTCTGATGAAATCGAATCTTCTGATATTGAACGATTCGTAGTTTTTTTAAACAAATTTTAAAATGCAATCAAAGTTGTTTGTGGGCTCTTATTGATTTAGACGAATTTGTCTACCTGTCGAGTAAATTATCTATCTCATATCTCGTTTATTTAAATACTTATAGACTCAAACTATGGGTTCTGGCTAGCCCACCTGTTCTGCGTTCGATGAAGCTTTAATAGTCTAAGGACTGAAAGCGTAACATCAGTTACAAATACAAAATAGTTATATATTTAAACCAATTTAAAAAAAAAACATGGAAACAAATGAGGTAAGTTCTAAAACAAAAATTTATAGTTCTTTATGTCTGTTTGTGTATTTTCCCCGATTCGCTTCGCTGCTAAAGTAGCGTAAACTGTGACTCAACGCAGACCTGGCAAATGCAAAATTACGGATATGGGCTGCTCCATTGCGTGAGAAGCGAATAGTATTGTAAACGTATTATCAATTTTTACATGAACGTTGAACCTTATTTTGGATATACGATTTATATAACGCAGTTAAGTTGTAAACCCGTCTCTTGCAACATGAAAATGTATCGTAGATAGGCAATTACATAATTTTTTCTAAACTTCGAACAACCCGATAGTAATGTGTCCATTAAAAGGCAATTTCTTTATAGGGCTAGACAATTTGTTATCTTATGACGCAACTTGCAAAGCAACTCGCCACTTGTGGTTTTTTATTCTCCTAACTGATAAGTAGTTCATGGAAAAATACCTACGGCACGTTTTTATTTAAGTGCTCATAATCAAGTTTTCACGTATAGCTCATTATGTGATTACGTCGCCTTGCTAGAATAATTATTTATAATTGGGTTTTTGAATTTTTATTTATAGATGAAAAGATCATATATAAGTAATATAACAAAACTTGTTTTTTTTTTCGCTATAATTCAAAAGATACTATATGAAAATAAAAACTAATTTTTGAATTCAGTACCGAAGACACGCCGACATCTCCCGAACAAACCCGAGCGCGTGTTACGTCATAATGTTGTCTGCGCAGTCATGGCATTGAACATCCTGAATTTTTCTTAACTTTTCATTAATAGTCAAAGTAACTGAATAAGCTTTACTTCGAACTCGATCCTTTTACGATACAAATTATATTTTTTACGACTAAGTTGAACATAACCTATAGCTTTGTCGCCGTAACTATCACGTGATGCTCTACAATTAACGAAATAAATAGTTATATTTAATATAATGGAGAATAAATACTTGGATTTTTCATTTATAATTAATAATATATAATAAAATTATTTAAATAATATTTATATAATTAAAAAAATATTTATATAATAAAATTATTTAAATAATATTATTTCCTAATAAACTTACCTTGATGCCTTGGCACCTCGAACTTCAGCAGAATTGAACCGAACGTAATTTTTAAAAATGTGTAAACATATATCAACGTCAGGAACTGCTCAGACTTTGCCTTTATAAATCCATTATCACGCATAGCTAATATCGGAATTAACTAAAAATTCGGTTTTTAGCAGGAAATTATTAAAATTATTGTCAAGTCACATGTAATTGCCGTAAACCCTGTACTGTTATAAAATAGCTTTAACATTATGACGTCACAACTATGGTCAGTTGGTCACCAATAATGGCGTGTTTATAGTCACGTAATTTTCCTTTAAATTTTATAAAATTTTAAGTGCTTATAAATAATTGGAATTTATTTTTAAGTTTTTGCATTAAATATCAATATTATTAATAACAACATTTTAAAATACATAATACATGAATATTTTTTTTTTCTAAATCCCAATTACTTATCTTTCATTAAGTTACTATATTCATATCAAGTTCGCCGGGATGCTTGTTATTAAACCTGGAGCTTTAGTCTTGCTGGGGAATAAATTAATGTCTAGGTAATTAAGGTGGTAATGACAATTTTCTCTCCAAATATTTTTTGGTTTAAAATGTCTTTATACACAGAGACGCTTGCGCGTTCTTATGAAACGTTGAAATATTACAAAGAATACTTTCATAGGTATAGTTGAGTCACATATATCATAATTTGGTAATAATCCATTTGATTAAAATATACACCACTCAAAATAATCGGCTTGTTAGCTCAAGAGCTAACAAGCCGATTATTTAACAATATATCGACACAAAAAAAACAGTCGAATTGAGAACCTCCTCCTTTTTTGAGGTCGGCTAAAAACTTTGATAAATTACATTCAAATGCTTTTTCCCCGCAATGTCCCACCCATTGGTGACTCATTATTAGCCTTTCTATCTATAAAATCAACAAAAAAATACATACTTTAAAGGAGACAAGGATTAATTTATTTTCTAATTGTTTTTTTTTGTATTATTGCCAATAAATTTTAATGCTGACATGTAAATAAGTGCCAACACGTTTATTAACACAAAATGTACCTAACAGTTTTTCATAGCTTATGTTGGTTTTTGTTTGATTAAGTTGCTCATAGACATCCACAATACACGTACGACTGTAGATGCGTTGCTAACCTTTTAGTGTGGGCCCCAGTTTTCTCATTCATGAGAATAAACGCAGTAGTGTATAAAATAATTTTACTTTACGCCGCTCCTCTGTGAGGGCGTTGTTGTTCCCCGGGTCAACAATAGAAACATGTAATTTCGTGGCGCTAGCCACGTCTACCACAGTAAAAGTAACTTACTATAGAAATTATAAACTAATTATTAAATCATATGATAACATAATAAAAGCCAATCATAAAAATTTTCCTCTTTCCCTTAAGAATTAAATGAACTTTATTATTATCTTACGTATTTAGCTGACTCAGTATTTCGCAAGGAAACTGTTTCGAAATCTATTTTTCAAAGAAAAATTGTGGTATTAAAGTGTTACTGTGGCGGTCCGTCCGGGGAAGTACCACGACCTCACAGACGCATGAAGTGAAAGTGTTATACTTCTGCGTTTCTTTTAGTGAGTGAGGTAGTCTTAGCCCACTTTATTGAAGGTGGTAACCCATTTGTAACCCTTCCTACGGGTGCTGTAAATGTCCATGGCTGCGGCTATCACTGAACATAAGGTGAAACGCCGGCTCGCTTACCATTTTCTTACATAAAAATAATAACTACCTCTCTCACTCTCTTCCAAGCTATATATCCAACATGATGGTGCGGTCAGCTTTCCTTATTTTCTCTATTTTTTTCCTATATTTCTCCTTCTTCACTTCGCTCTATTGTCGACACAGTCATCGAATACTTGATACTCTACCATGTCCGTTGGCCCTCACCATTTTTTGGGCCTACCTCTGGATCTAACCTATCCTTAGTATCTGTAACATTTCTTTACTGTAACACCTATTTATATTATGTCCAGATGGAAAATAAATGATTGTTTGATTGATTGATTGATCTTTGTACAGGCACAGAAAGTTCCATTTCCAAATTTCCCACTTAGTTTGGTGGCCTCCTCTTTAAATGCTCATACCCAGCCTACCTTCCTGCATCTTATCGGCGATGTCGCGAACGCCCAAGTTCCCTCGTACGTACTCTTTACGGATTTTATATAGCCTGGTATCGCCGATCATCCACATCATCTTCATTTTAGTAGGAGGCATATTCAATTTAGTCTCTATCTCACCTATTTGAATGGAACGGACATGTTTTCGGGTTACGGCACAAGTCTCACTGCGTTACATAAGAACTGGCCTTATGATTGTCTTGTAACTCGAGTTTAAACGACAATTTTCTGTCACATATAACGCCAGTTACTTCGCGCAGTTTCAGCCATGCAGCGGCTTGTCGATGTTGAATGTTGTATCCAAATTCCCAGAATTGCACATTATCGTACCCAGATATTTATAAGTGGTGGAACTCAAAAGGCGAAAAAGTTGCCATCTTCTGTGGACATCTCGCCAACCTCGAATAATAATTTAGATGCTGACACCATGTGGGAGCATCTGCGAAACTCCGTTATAACTGTGTAAAAATAGTAATAATTATAATAGTATATTTAATTATTACTATTTTATGAATCATATGAAATATGACTTTCAATCGGAGCAAAAAATGTCTGATTTTCATATAAACACATTGCACCTACATAAACGTTAATTATGTTCTGAATTACTCCCGCCATTGGCCTGATGCGGTATGATAGAAAAGTGACAAAATTTTGAACAGGGGACCGCAGTTCAAGAAATTTATGTACAATCTTATTTCAAATTCAATTTTAAGTTCATATTTTCCATATTTAGATTAAACTGCGTCTTGGTTATTCAATAAGAGAACATTGCCGGTACGAAAAGATATCACGCTGTTAGTTTTTCACGTATAAACAGAACGTCTGTGATATCACGTTATTCATATATTCTCAATGTGAAAAGTCGTAGACTGAGAACGCAGTATGTAAGTAATACATTCACAGTATCAGCTAAGCACTTCATTGTAAAATATTCAACGCAAAAACGAACGCAAGAGCACGTCAGAACAGATTTATGACAAAGTTTCGTGATTGTAGTGGGCTAATAAAAATTTTATTGTTCTTATAGTTTCAAGGAGATATCAGACGGCCGACGGCTCGGCGCCTCGTCAGCTGAGGATTATGTTATAAGCGTATTAAAGGTCTGCGATCGAATACTCCTCGTGGTTCGTAACGAATATGGAACAAGTGACGAGTAACAACGTGAACCGGGTAAGCCTCGTGTGTGAAACACGGGAGCACTGGATTTGATGAGCACTGCACTAGTTCCTAATAGAAGGAAAGTTTATATATATGTATTTAAAAATAACACCGTACATACATCCACTACTGGCCAAAGGCCCACCACAAGACGTCATAGCGCATTTGTCGACTTCTGAATTTAATTTTTTTTTAAATATTTAGGTTTCGTCACGATGATTTTACGTCACGTGATTTATCGACACATAAAATTGCAATTACTCGTAACAATTTCATTGGTTCCGTTACTTAGGTTGGAACTCAGCTTACTTCTCTATACTTAATGAAAAGCTAGTGCCCTAATCTACCACGGTTAAATGACGATGACGTATCATAATAATTTTGTATTAAGCTTTAAATTTGTCCGTTCCAAGATTCAGAAGAAAAGAAAAATAAGATTGTGACAATTTTTGGCTCTCATTTCGGTGATATTCTATGTTCACTTATCGAAAACATTAATGTAAATGCGTGCAATCTATTTTCGTGTCGAATAATACCTTGCGCCTGTCAAACCATAAATTTTATTCTATCGCGACCGCAGTGCAGATTTCGTGTTGTTCAGCTGTAATCAATGCAAGTCAATATATCGGATATTCAAATGAAGGACAATTATGCGAATTCAGGATTAAATGAGGCGCAGTAACTCAGTGTCTGTGTGTAACCCGGCTTCAAAAATAACTGCTAGCTCGGCGAAAACTAACGGCGGCTAAAATAACGTCCTCAGCGGAAAAGGAAACCATGCATATTTCAGTTGTTTACTATTGCTTAACGACTGCGAAAGCCGGAAAATGTTCATCCATAATGTTCTTAATTCGTACAGGAAACGATTGAGACGTTTGTACATCGCGATAAGTCGAGCTACGGCTACTAACAGCGAAAACTTCGCGAAAACATCTCGTGGATAGCTTCGCTTCACAATTTTAGATTCCGTCGAAATTTCCCTTTGTCTTGGTTTATTTATGTGAATATAAATGCAAACTGCAGTACGAGCGGTCGTCGCGGAATATTCTGATACGAGTTTGTCAGTATATCTTGTGTACAGCAAACAGTGGTCACGCGAGGATTTTCGTTATAGCGCGATGCCCGAGCCACGTTATTGATTCTCGAGCGCGTATGTTCCAAAGATACAGATCGCGCTCGTATATGAGCCATGCATTATATATAGAATCAATCGATATTCCGAATGCGGAAACATATATCCTATTTTAACCTTTACTCCACAAATTACAAATGGTAAGCATAATTTGACAGGACTGACGTCCTGAAAATCCCGAAAATTTAGAGTTCTGGACTCCAAATATTTGAAGATATTTTGGAAACAATTGACTACATAAAATTCATCGTATCAATCTTTCTTATCCTTTAAACGAGCAATTCTTGTATATATATATATAATCGGAATCTCGGAAACGGCTCCAGCGATTTTCATGAAATTTAGTATGTGCGTAGATTCGGGGGCGAAACATCGATCTAGCTAGGTTTCATTTTTAGAAAATGTCCTTTTAGCCCTGTTTTCAGGGAATGAAAAATATAATTCGAATATGACGGTAAATCTCGACGCAAGAGAAAATGTCATAATAGCTCGGGCGGTAATCGGGCGGCCCCAAAACAGACGGCCGTGGTTCGCGTCACGATCATTTACACATTTATTTTTTTTACTTTTTTTTCGATTCCAGATCATTGCTTTCTTTATTTTTAATTTTTTGTCGATTTGTTATTTTGTTATTTTTTTCCCTTTTTTTAAAGTTCTTTCTTTTGTGAAAAACATCAGTTCATATTTTCTTATTATTACGTCGGTAAGATCGAAAAATATTATGCATATTTCATTACTCAGTAATTTGTATCTAAATGTAATTTCCAAAATACACGATTTACCAAAAAAATCAAACCTCCGGGTCCTCTGGGTACTTCTAATTAAACAGAAAAATGGGAAAATGTATCATAAATCTATTAATAATAATAATAACATAATAGGTTTTATTTAATTTTTTAATTTGCTTTAAAATAGCAAATTATTAAAACCTATGCAAAGCGGGCGCAAATAAAACGAATAAGTATACCGCAATAAAAGTGGGTGCGTGACAGAAACCAAAGTCAGCCGAGTGGATATGAGCTCATGCTGTTTATAGCCATTATCACTTTTATAGGCATAATGGATTGTTCATGAGAAATAGCTGGAACTCTAATCCTAATTGCCCCGGCACTAAAATTACACTTTTCTCACACCACACATTCATATGTTAATAAATGGCCTTATTGCCTCAAGATTTAACGAAAAGACCTTTTATGAATTTTAAGAGCCTGTCACACTGATACAATTTTAGCTAAAAAAGTTTAAGTTAATAATGGCGAAATGCCTTCACAAATATGATTCAGTAACATCAAACAAACCGAACCGAAAGTTTAAGTTGCATCGAGAAATGCAGTTAGTGACTATATTTTTGTTTTGCTCTTTTAAAACACCTTGTTGACCTACTGGCCGAGTTCGTGACAACTTGTGTCTGAGGGGCCATTGCTCTTTTAACTTGAGAGAGGTTAAACACAAAAACAAATGAACCTGAAATTAAAAGGATTTTGCAGCTGTTTTTTTTTCAGCTTATACCTTTTACAATTTCTTGTTTTATACTGTTTATATCACATGTATGAGTTTAAGTTAAATATGTATTAATTCAGGACCACGCAAATCTTAAAAATATTGGATCTGTAATCCTCAAAAAAACTTACATTATTTCAACCAAACGAATTCTTTTGTAGATTCTGTAATCAAAGCATTTACGTGATTAAAATAATTATAACTATTACCCGTTATAAATTCTTATATTTCATATCTCTAACTTAATTTATATTGTTTTTGAATGTGGAAAATATATAGGGATTGTCAATAATTATCATTCTTAAAATAACAATGTACCTTCTTACACCTGTCTTAATTGTGATGATAAACGGGTTCTAAAAATGATTTATTTGCTAAGGCCCCGGGGGACGCTCGACCTCCAAGTGGTGGCCCCATTGGCCAAGAGGCTACCGGTCCGACGCAACTACCCGTGCGTCCGCCGCTCACCAGAATTGATTCGCGTTCGTCGCTGACGCCACAGTCGCCGAGGCCAGGGGCTCCTCAGTTCCAACAGCGTCCGCAGTTCCAACAGGGTGGACCGGTAAATAGTGCGCCTCAGTTCGCACCGCGATCTGGAAGTCCAATAACAAGGGCATCGGCTCCGTCCCCAACACCAGGGTCTCCGCAAATTCGAGCGCAAGTACCTCAGGCACGTCCCGCAGGACCTCAGCAACAGCAGGGTCCAAAGCCTATACAGTCCCCAACCACAGCACAACCTCCGCAAAGAGCTCCTGTACCGAGCAATCTACAGTTCGGTCCAAGGCAGCCGCCGCAATTTGGGAGTGCTTCAACGCCTGACGGTTCACGAGCTCAGCCCCCGAATATTAACGGGAACACTAAGAACGGTGTTCCGTTAACGGCCCAAGTAACTGGACAAATTTCACGTCAACCATCACAAGGCTCATTGAAGGGCCTTGACTCTTCTATCACAAATCAAGGTAAAGCGGCAATCCTGGATAACCAAAATATTACCAATGACAATCAAAATGCTAACAAACCCGAGATCAACGCGGAAGCGCAAGGAATGCCAAAAGGCCGAAGTTACAGTATTGCTGCCGCCCCTGGTACACCAAGTCCGCTTAAAATCGACGAAGATCGACGAAAATCGATTAGTGCCGTGGGAGGTAAGATCGAAGAGTTTACAGTTCGTAGCCCAGGACTTGGGTTAATTCAAGAATCTAAAGACAGTAGAGACAATGTTCATGGCTCTAAGGACAGTGTGCGGTCGGAGGTATCTCATGATGGAAACAAAGATAATGCAGATCGTCCAGAGTCACGCCTTTCTGGGTCTAGAATGACTGAATCGATAATGGGATCGCTAACCAACTTGGGGCCGAAGAAGAAGGTGGATGATGACGACGATGTTGTGCTGCAGAATAACACACAGACAGTTAAAAATGGCTCCACTTTGAATCATAATAAAACCGATCTTTCCGACCGCTCCCCGTCTCTGACAAGAAGTGATGATTCGCCAGAACCTAAAAATTTATCGCAAAGTTCGGTAATCATGAACAAATCGCACAGCGCTACGCCCGAGCCACTGCGCCCAAAAACGCCTAAAGCTGAAGTGAAACCAGATATCAAAGTGGAAGTGCCGAAAGACTTAAAAACTTCCGATACGTCGATAAAAACACCGTCTAAATCCCCCGTCCAAGAAAGACCTTTGACAGCCAATAAGAAACCAACAGATTTGAAGACATCTGTTACTCCTACCGATTCTAAAAAATCAACACCTAGAAAAGTAGTTTCAGCGCCGAAATCGCGTCCCAAAGGTAAAGGGAAATCTAGATCCAAGTTAATTATCACGTTGAGATGATTCAAACCATTCCGTTCCTAATATTTCTACTTAAGTATTTCTTACGTCAGCTTTTTTTCCAGATGGCGATAATGACAGTGGTGTCGATGAGTCAACTCAGGGAAATGTTCGTATAACTTTAAAATTATGTAGCTCGACTTCAATTATTACTGTTTCTCAAAACTAATAAAACCATTATTGTAGGATGTCAATGGATCACCTGCTTCACCGAATAAGAAATTGCCGAGCAAGCTGCCGACAAAAGAAAAATCTAGCAGCAGTTTAAAGACCAGTCTGTCGCGTTCCTCAAGCAAGAGTGCGACCGCCAAAACACCTGAGAACCCTCCACCATCAGATAAAAAGAGTAATGTTTTAAATAAATATTTGTTTATCTCATGTTATAGAACAATTAATGTAATCTTTTAGCGAGACAATTTAAAATAACTCTCATGACTTAATAAGTAATTGAGTTCTTTATTGTGTCCATACGTTTACTGTAATCAAAATATGCATTATGTAATATTTTTATTGATACTTAGATTGTTTTACATTTTTATCAAGAGTAATCAACCTTGTCACGTATCAATATCTTAAATAACATTATCAATAAAAAAATCTAATTGACGATCTTTCTTGCATCATTTCTATTAAATAAATAATTAATAATGTAATGATGAAAATACTTAACAATGTAAGGCGAAATAAAGACCTCAATTTATTTAATGGATGATTTTAGAAGTACCTATGAATAAGGTGCAAGTTGGAAATGCTCCGTCACCCAATATAAAAGCAGTTAAATCCAAAATTGGATCTTTGGACAACACTACTTACAAACCGGGAGGTGGGAAAGTTAAGATCGAGAATAGAAAGCTCGAGTTCAATGCTGCTCCTAAGATTGCTGCGAAAAACGAAGCGTATACACCCAGTGGTGGTACAAGAAAGGTAAGTATTATAAAACTCATTTTATCTGTTACGTCTCGGGACCGAATAAATCTGATATTATTAAACAACTTCTAAAAAACCGGCTAAGTGCAAGTTGGACTCGCGCACGAAGCGTTTCGTACCGTTATCTATAAAAACGACAAAAAAATCATGTCTTTTGTATGGGAGCCCCACTTAAATATTTTTTATTCTGTTTTTTAGTATTTCTTGTTATAGCGGCAACAGAAATACATCATCAGTGAAAATTTCATCTATCCTGCTATTAAGGCTCATGAGATGCAGCCTGGTGACAGGCAGACAGACAAACAGCGGAGTCTTAGTAAAAGGGTCCCGTTTTACCCTTTGGGTACGGAACCCTAAAAACGATGAAGTTGATCGGAGTGACTACTATTTTTATTTATACCACATAGTAATTTTAGTTTTAATAGTTACTTTATTGTTAGTATCAATCAGGGGTGTCGCATAAATTTATTCGGATACTGATTATCAAGTCCATGAAAACATCTTCAGTTATCAAAGCCTTTTCTGTTTGATTTACCCTTTTTATTAAAATAAAACGGTTGACTTGTTTTATTTTCACCCGACTGCGCCAGAAGGAGGGTTATGTTTTTCGAGAGTATATATGTATGTATATTTGTATGTATAATTGTTTAGCACGCTCTGCAGCCTGAACGGCTTGATGGATTTTAGCTTGAGAGGTGTCGTTAGATTCGTATTTACTGTGAGAGTGCCACTGGGTATATCAAAATAAAAAATTATACAGAAATTCGGTCGGGTTTTTTACTTTTTTATATTCTACTTGTTCACTGAATGGTTTTTTTGGTTAATATGATTATTTTCTTTCATACTTAGTTTAGATAAACTGAAACGTGTACTTAAACATATTAAGATTACTGCAATTAATGATAAATTTTCAAAAAAATAATTTCAGTAATATTACATTCTATTGAAATTTTTATATTTAAATCAATTTTACTCAGTATAGTACATAAAGAATAGATATATTGGATCTGAAGCAATTTTAATGAATTAATATCTGGAATATATGCTAATAATTGACTTTTATTCAAGATTATCACGACAAAGTTGGAATGGAACGCTAAACCAAAAGTTGGATCCCTGCAAAACACGGCGTACAAGCCGGGCGGTGGTGATAAGAAGATTGAAACCGTCAAGTTGGACTTCAAGGACAAAGCGAAACCAAAAGTTGGATCCACGGCTAACATAACCCATAAACCCGGCGGCGGCACTGTAAAGGTAGGCAAAAATCAAACCACATTCGATAACCATCAAAGTGTTCAATGATCAAATCATTTTTGAATTAGCAGTGAGTATATTATTTTGAATAGATAGATAGAAACCAATGACAACTGCACGATAGTGTCATTTTAGTCGCGCAACTCGCAACATGATGGTAAATTAATTCACTGACGTAATACTTATCATCCAATTATGTAGATAAAAGTGTAGATTATTGTAACAGTTGTACAGAATGTATTTAAGTCATACAGCTGAGAATCGCATAAAACTAATTGGTGATAATTTAAGCAGAAATTCAAACGAATGTCTTGTTTCATAGTCTACAGATGCAAAGACCGGAGATCAATCAGTGAGTAATAATCATTAGCCAATAGTCCGCTTCTTTTTAACTTTATGTTGACAGCGTATCCTATCGATGTATTCACTCCAGACAAAATCCTTTAAGTTATTTCCTGCGTATGTAACTTAAGCGAGTGTTGTGTTTTAGTTTGTAAAATGGGAGTTACCAAGGTGGAGGGCATCACATAAGTCCTTTGCTTTGCACACTCTTCGCGGTAAGGTCTGTCTTGGTCTGTTGTTGATGGTACATGATGTCACCGAATGCATAAAAGGAAGAATTTTGACGTCTTTAGGACAGATGTGTCACAAATTGTTTAACACGCGACGTGTTCTTGCTTTAGGAATGGCACAATGCGAGAACTGCCTTCGGAATGCCGGAATGAACACATATATGTTTGTCTATAAGAAATTAACTAGGGATTTCAATGTCGATGTCTATATTTGTTATTTAATTAATGTGAACGTATACTTATTTTATAACACTACATTTGCCACTTGTTCCGCACAATGAATTTAGAAATACATGGACAATGTTTGGATTCGTATGCACAAAATCAAATGTTATATATCATATTGCATTTTATAGTTTATATGTGACCGCACACAATAGCACCTCTCCTGAAACAAATGTATTACGCCTTCAAAGACATTAAAAGGCTATGCAATAAAGCTTTTTAATATTATACTTTTATATTATTGATATACTGAGACATTTTAGCAATGCTGTTATTTAAAGTTACGTTTAAATATATACTTATGATATATTTAAATATTCGTCTACACGAGTGCTTTTATAAAGTAACACTGCAAAAGCTTAAGCTGTTAAATTCTTGGTTGAAAGAGCCATAAGTATATATTGCCTTAACCATGTAGTATGTATTCGCACATAACCGCACAGTCACTTTTCCGGACAGATTGAAAACCAAAAATTGGATTTCAAAGCGCAAAGCAAGGTCGGCTCACTCGACAACGTAAAGCACAAACCGGGCGGGGGCGACATAAAGATATTCGACGACAAGGAATACATCAAGCAGGTCGGCGGCCAGTCCCCGCTACCCACCAGCCTCAACCAGTCGCGGCAGGAGGTGAGGCTCCGCCATTTTGCGAGCCGTCGCTCATTTTGTTTTCCGCTTCGTTCCTTTGTTTTGGTGGCGGGTTCCATTCGTGGCCATTCGCATCCGTTCGCATAACGTTACCCCATTTTCTTTTGTTTCAGCCTGAGTACTTGTATACGTTCTATTAGTGTTTTATTTCGACGAACGTTTCAGGTGACATTGGACTGTGATTTTTTACTAACTCGAATCACGACACGCGATTTTATTTCGTTTGGTTTTTTCATTTGCTGTTCTAACCTTTTGTTTATTTTTGTGTTTTTTTTTTTTCATTAGTATGTTGCATTTGTCGATTTTATTTTATTTTGTATCTAATGATCACAATCTATTCTGTCGTAGAGTCCGGTCCCACCGTCAGCGCCCCCGAAGTCAGATGAGAATTTAAATCAACAGCCATCTTAAGGCGACACGCTACGTTTTCATCTCCATCCCACTACAACCGACACTACTACTAAATATCGCATAGTGTCCATACATTAATATATATTATTAACATAATTATTAGAACTTAATGTGTTTATTTCTGGACTCGTGAATCCCCATGCATATAATCGAACGTAATACCTTACCATATCTTTAAGACAATATGGTTCCATGTAATTTGAAATTTTTGTATATCAATTAAGCAAAACTATAATAATCCAGTTTAGACTTTGAATTTAGTTTCCTTTCGATCTACTTCGAAATATCAGGCGTGCCAATCTATTAGATCGTTTTTCGACACCTATTGTGCATTACTGTATTTTATTCACTACACAAATATGTTTAAACTTCATTAGTTTTGGTATTGTTAGTTTCCACAGACCTCTAACTGTCCAGAGCCAAGAGACATAAAATTTGTTGTTTGCGAGTGAGTTGTAATAGGGCACGCTTGTTTTTTACAACAGCTGCGCGGATGTTATAACTGAAATTGCACTTAGTGAACACATAGTATTAAGTAAGAAACATTTTGTCCTTCACCGCGGTTTACATTAGCAATATTTATACTTATGTATTCGATGTTGTATTTATACAGGTTGTATATAACCTCTTTATATAAATATCGGTAGTCGTCACAGCTTTGTCATTGGTTCAGTAACGTATATAGCCCAGACTAAACTTAAATGCACCTTAGTGAAGTTAGCTCCGCGTCCTCTACGCATGTACCGTTGGGTGCAAAAACGTCTTAATAGAGTCACCGAAAATTAAAACAATTTTATGTTCACTAAAGACCGAATAAGCAAGAGAAAAAGTAGTTGAGGGTTGGAGTAAGCGAGAGGACAATACGCGAGAGATGGACAACTTCAAAGTGCATTAAGTTTCACGCACCCTATACTCAAACATATAAAGCATTATAGGTAACACGCACTGTGTAATGGAATTTAGCTAGTGTTCTTGACACAGCACAAGTTTATTCTCAAGTCCATTATTATATATATTATCAGTTCCATTCCTTTGTTTGTTTCGACTGACAGTTTTTTACACTACAATTGCTGTGTCGGGAACAAGAAGGGCTCGGAAAGGACTGACCAGATTATTGTAAGAGTTATAAATGTTATATATTTAAATGTGTAAAGACACGATCAGGTTGAAAACTCGCATCAAAAATTAATTTCTCTTCACAAAATCAATTGCAATGTCATTGTTATTGTAAAGTAGTTTGACGTGTCATAAATATTTAAGGATCATGTTTTAGGAAAGAAATGATAAAAGGTATTTATAAGCAAAACTGTAGCATCAACATGTCCCTTTTTTTCACAATAGTCTTATTAATATTTGTACAACAATATAATATTATGGTGTTTACTTTTTTCTACGTAAATTAATAACTGAATGCTTTGCTGTAGAGACAGTTTTATGTTGTCTTCGTGGAGTAACGCTAAAGGACCTGCTGTTATGGTATAAATGTAAGATTTAATACAAAGTAATGTGATAATCATTGTTTCATTTATGATCAGACACGAACAAAAGTCGAATAAATTCCCTCAAATAGAACGGCCGTAGTTAAGCTGTAACCACAATTTGCACGAGCACCAGCGTAGTTGAAGGACATTTACTACCAACGAAAACGGTGAGTTTTTCATCATTATTTTTCTTCGTTGTCGTTCATTAGGGCACAAAAAATAAAATTGCCAAGTTAAATTAGTGTGTTAACTTTTAGCAAGATATCGTTGGTAGGGTATCTCATTGTCATATTTAGTTTACATTATCTTTTTACACACGAACGTTTTTTAGTATTTAAAATTTATCATCAAGCATTAATTAAAATACATTTTTAATGAAGTCCACTGTAATAAAAAATAAGTTATCGGGTGATCTCAAAAAAATCGCATTCCTATTGTCAGTTTGTTTATCATTACACTGCCCCAAATTTTTAAAGTACTTCTTGTTATACATGGTACCTATGGATAAAGCACGAATGAGCACATGCGCGGCTCTACCCAACACGGAGGGCCGTATCAAGCTCATGCGTTCTGACTAGGCCTCGAGCTCTGCGTTCGTTGAAACTTCAATAGTCTACGGACTGAAAGCACAAACGTCAATCCAAATAAATATTGCAATGATACCTTTTTGGCGCACAGGAAAACTGTTACATAACTCTGAGCGAGTGGCCGGAGCGTCCGCTGTCGCGTAGTCGATCGGCGCGCGCCCCCCGCACCCCGCGTACCCCGCGCGCCCTCTCGCCGCGGAAGCCCGCGCCCGACGACCGCCGCAAGGAGCTCAACAGACGCGCTTCCATGGGGCGCCCCGCTAGCGCCCGCGATCCGCCCCGCTCGGCATGTTCTAGACGCACTTCGCTAACACCGCGTCCCGCCTTTACAATATATTAATTAAAATAAAAGGCAAAGCTACCACAACACCGGGCCCGATCTGAGTTCGGCGAAATGTCAGCGATTGTTTTTAACATGATTTGATACATTTCAGTAGTTTCTGATGCGTAATCAATTTTGGCCGTTGTCATATTTTATGTTGCGTTTTTTATTAAATAAACTTTCATTTGGAAAGTAATAAAATGCATAAAAGGAATGTGTGAAATGAAAGAAGAAGTCACTAAGTACGTTATTAAATACCTATACGTTTGAAAGGTTATGTTGAAATTTGGTTGAAGACATGGTAAAAAAGATATTTATTAGGTACAAGAAATTGTAATAAATGCATAAGTTAATTTGCGAATGTATAACACAAAATTAGTCAGTTTGTATTCGTTATTACTTCATTTACCCATTTTATACAGTTTGTAACAAAAAATATAACTACTTAAATTTTTACGTTTTTGAATATTCCAGATAAGCATTATTTTTGTTTTTGCATTGAAATCTCACTTGGCACAAATATCCTTAATTAAAGGTACTTATAATAAAGATTTAATATATTATAGTCACTATTCACTAAATAGCAGTACTTATAGTTATATCATATATATACATATAACGATGACAAATTTTTAAGATTCTGTTCAAGCAGCATATACTTATTTATAATAAGTTTACTTCAAAATATTCTTCATAAGACGAGTCATACAATAAGGCTTACCTGGGAAACCTCTTATAATCAAAACAAATTTTGAATTTTTATTTCAACTAACGTTGAAGTTATATCCAGTCTTTTATAGATATTAGGTTGACTAGAAGAAATCAATAGTCGCACTTAACTTCAAAGTTACTTAGGTGTATGTATTTTATTAGGGTTTACATTTAGAGAAAGTAGAAATTGTCACTTCATCTTCTGATTTTTAACTAACTAATATATAGCTTAGTTTTAAATTTAAAGTTAGCTATTTTTTTGTAGTAGTATATTATGCTCATGCCTTCGAAAAATATAATCACGACGTGAATAATCAATTTCAAAATATTATTTACATCTCTTAAATTTAAAGGTTGTTATTTATTCAAATTACTTTTTTACTTTTATATCCATAACAAATAAATAGAACCATAAAGTCGTTCCTTTATTTGTTATTCCTTTATATTTAGCTACTTCGAAATTTGGTTATAATTTTAATAGACGATCTATTATAAGGATATTATTATACACTTATTTTAAATAAAGCATAAAAGCACATTAAGGTTTTGTTTTCTTTTAATCCTTTTATTTTTTTTTAAATCAAAAATACATTTATTCAAATAGACGCTTGCGCGCTCGTATGGTCTTATGAATCGTCAGATTTTACATAAAAAATTATGTATATAGGTTCGTAAGGTACCACCGGTTCGGAAAGCAGTTTCTGTTGAGAAGAGACCGGCAAGAAACTTAACAGTTGCTCTTTTTCAAAAATATCAGTTTACATTATAATATACAGGTATAATAGTCTTATGCCCAGTTTCCGAAAGGCCAATCAAAGCAGCAATCACATAACACTATGTCAAAAATGATCAGCTGTTAACCTCTTGTTAAACTGCCTTGGGTTTCTGGAAGGTTTGTTCAAGAAAAATTAGCCTATCACTGTATAACCAATGATAATGAATGAAATGAATGATTTACTTCAACTAACTTTTTCTATTGTATAACTGTCCCTTTTTAAACACAACTTAAATTAACGTCACTATCCAGTCCTGTCACCGTGTGATTGCCAACGTAAAAATTCGAGCTATAATAAAATTTAATTTATATAAATACATGCAAAATGTCAAGAAAAAAGTTTACAGAACGTGAAAAAAATGAACTTTTATCCATAATAAACAAGTAAGTATTATAAAAAGAAAGAATCCATATTATTTATTCACTTTTCAATTGCATTTTGTATTTTTTCTAATCGCATGATATGTTCGCATAATAATAAATAATAAATAGGTAATAGAACACATGAATATCCTAAAAACGTATTAGGGAATTATATTTATTTTTAATAAATAACTAAGGTTTTTGATAAAATACATTTATAACCAACGATTGATCGTCCAAATTGACATATTACTTAATAAAACTTTTGACAGCTCGTTGACCACCGAAAAACGCTTTCAGAAACTCGATTTTCTGTTGACTGTCCGTTAATCAGTGACTAATTGCAAATCAAAATCAATTTTGTTTTAAGACGTTCTAGCAACTCAGATCATGTTAAACAACGATTGACAAGAGATTTGTCGTAAATTAAAATTGATTGCGCTTTCGGAAACTGGGTGTAAGTGAATTCCGGGCTCCGATATTGTAGATTGCTCGACAGCTCTTTTTTGAAGAATAAATTTATATCTGATGCACTACCCCACAACAAAATGCCGTACGACAAGATGCTGTGAAATAACTGAAATAAACAAGTCTGGCAGTGTCGATGTCTGTTAGCTGCTTAACCCTTCTAATCGCAAAAACAGCGGAGCTTAGCCTATTCGCAAGAGATGATATATGGGGACTCCACTGGAGCTTTGAATCTACTGTAATTCCCAGAAATATAGCAGACTCTACTGAATTAATGGGTACGTTATTTAATATTAAACTAAAACTTTTCCTTCTTATACTGGGGAGGGTAAAAAGAATACATCTAGTTTTTTGGCATTTAATACCATATTATTAATAGTAAACCAGTGGAGGATATGTGAAAGTGCACTATTCACGTCGTCATAATTTAATACGTTTCGGTCAACTTTAAAAATTATCGATGTATCGTCAGCAAACAGTACATCACACAGCCCACTGGCATAAAAGGGGAGGTCATTAATATATACTGAAAAATAATAATCGGCCCAAGATTAATCCTTGTGGGACACACATTTTCATCGGGGACCCAGCGGAATTAACATCATTTATAGATACTTTTTGAATTCTATTACTAAGGTAAGAGGCAATGAGATTGAGGGCGATGCCACGAATGCCATAATATTCTAACTTTTGAAGGAGAGTTTTGTGGTCTACGCAGTCGAAGGCTTTTGAAAGGTCACAAAAGACACCTATTGCATCTTGTGACCTTTACCAGGCGTTATAAATATGTTTGACAAGTAATTGTCAAATATTTGCCTATTACAATATAGTACCATAGATTTGTAATTTTGTCTAATACTTTGGATACGCGCAAAAGAGAAGTCGGTTCATTAGATAGCGAGTGATTATAAACACCATTGACGTCGTCGACCAGAGTTACGATAAAATTAGGACGTTGTTTTTCTATTAAATAGCGTTACTTACACGGGTGAGCATGCTAAGGGAGAAGGTTCAGCGTGGCTCTACTAGAAAATTCTAGTAATGTATGTAATTTGCCTAACAAAATTACAATTTAAGTTGCAGTTAAAGTTAATGTAAATAAATTAACAATTTAAATAAAATTGTGTATTTTTGTAGATAAATGAAGAAAAACTTTCGATGCGTAGGGGATCGAACCTGCATCTTTAGATTTCACGTCCAGACGCTTTAACAACCAAGCTGAGCGCCCGATAACTTCACGGCTCGAAAATATACTATTTACGACTTTTAACAATACTTGGCGCCATCTACTGTGCATCCTTTACAGCATGCAACACCTTACAAAGAACATTTATATTGAGAATTTTTGTAGATAAATGAACAAAAACTTTCGGCATTGCGGGATTCGAAACTGCGTCTTCCAGACTCGCGTTGCACACGATAAAGTTTTATTTTATACATTTAGCTTTAGCTTTATACAGCGTGTCGTTACCATCGCGAAAATAAATGAACACACGTCTAACGCTACTTGCCAATAATCATAAAAAAATATTAACGTTAAACAAAATCCATAATTAAAAAAAAAATATTTTTCAAACAAACTAATTAAGTAAAAAAGAAACAAAATTTGTAACATCCTATACAACTCGCGCCACAGCGTCGCATTACAAGCCTCTCCTTCTAACATTATGTTTTGTCTCTTTTAAATTCATTCAACCCATTCATATGCTTTTTGGCCTTTACAAATGAACTTTACGTTACACTTTTATACGTAAGGATGTTCTAAAATTGTTTGTTTTGGAAAATTTTATAACTCGGTAAATATTGATGTTTAAAGTATGTAAATGTTTAATACAATTTTAAAAAGTTATCCTCTATATGTGTGTTCATTTATTGTTGCGGTGGTAACGACACGCTGTATAGTCTACGTACTGAAGGCGCAAATATCTGTCATCGAAAAGCAAAAAAGCACTATCTATGTAAGTCCGACACTCGTCATGTTCTATCTTCTATTAACTGATGTGTATTTTTTCAATCCGTAAACTATGACAGCTTCGAAATCTTATTGTACGTGCACTTGAGGACAATTGACCTTATAAAAAGATTTCATTATGAAAATAGTCCCGATAAATACTTCATCACCTGTCAGGGGCAGTGGTGCTCTTCCACTATCACTTCTTTGTTTCATAGGATCTTCATACTAATGTTTTGTACACAGTAGACCGTAAGCTAATACACATTTTAAATCCTAGCAACTCAGCAGTAAAAATTTGCACCAATGCAACAATTTCTGCTACGTGTCAGATATACTATAACTTGAAAATGCAAATTATAAATTAATCCGCCCTATAAGATAAATAATCAGTTCAACCATTAATCTTAACAATGATCTGTTATAAACAAGTCTCACAGATTATGCGTAAATTATCTTTACTACGTTATCAGTATTTTGTACTTTATTTTAGATTAACTTGGTTTTTCTATAAAATTATTATCCTCCTACTGTTACACCTAGTGATAAGTATAAGAATCAGCCTATACATGTCCCACTGCTGGGCCTAGGCATAATCCACCATGCGGCTCCGGATTAGCGGACTCCACATAATTATATTAGAAATATTTTTTTTATTATTATTTCGAAAATATTCAGGTTTCCTCATGATGTTTTCTCACCGCTGAGTGCGTAATAACTCTGCAAATAAGAGATCGAATTAAGGTTGCTCGAGTATATTTAAGGGAGAGCGCCCGGACACGAAGCCTGGCCGCCGTATCACGGCTGTACCTGCACCATCACCTAGTTATCCCTATATATATATATATATATATATAGGGATAACTAGGTCCCTATATATATATATATATATAGGGACCGAATGTTTTTGCTGGTATTAGCTAGGATTCAATGACTAGCTCGCAAATACTTATTGTCACATGTGGGAACCAAACCCAAAATCACCGGCCCCAAAGCGAATTATTAACCGCGTCGAGTCATGACAGTCTTTTCTTTAACTACATATTTTAATGTAACCTAATATTTTTGTAGTCTTTTCTAATACATTGTTAATATAAATATAAAAAATTGAAAAGATCAATTAATTTTATTCCTAGTATTGAAACAACATTTTTTTATATATATATCGTTTTATTGGTGTACATGGTTATGCATTACAATAATATTTATCAATTGTTAATTCATTAAATTATGGCACTTAACACAATTAATATTTCATTAAACAATACATACAGAATGACAATGTCTTATCGAAACAAAATTTTACTTTCGAAATAAACTTAATGATACAATATTCGGAATTACTTTTTCAGTCGTTCGTTGACGTTCGTGGGTAAACGAAAGCCTCTTTTTATTTAATTTTTCTTTTTTTTTTTTTCTAAGAAAATAAAATTTGCAACTCAAAATTCAACTCATTGATCCCAATCATAAATTATAAATATTTTTTTCACATACAATGATCATAAAATAACTTAAATCGTTTGTACCAATGAAGGACAACTAACTCCCCATTCACAATCTATGCGGAAATTTCTTAAAAGAGCGCGCAGGAATAAGTCATTTTTGTAAAAAAAAATCAATACTTAATACAAACACTTTTAAAAACTTACTACTAACAAACTTTTCTAAGTAGTACATGCGCTAAGTGCCTGTTCACACGTGCGTTAACACGAACGGCCTTTGCCCCGGTAAAGTTAGCACGCGTGTGAATAGGCGCCTACATAACCTCCCAAGCGATTAAGTTTCCAAGCGATCGAAGCGGTTTGTTTCGTTATCCCGCCACTTCAGGTAATGTGTGATTATTTGAGGCATCCGACTAATCGATTATCTGGGATATTTTCCATTAAACACTAAAAACATTTCCCGTGGAAGCGTTACCCGATGCACGAAGACGATACGACGGACAATCCGGCCGATGCAACAAGCACACACAACACGTAATAACATTATTATAACTTTAATAACATACAAAAGGCCACATCACATCATTCAGTCACAAAGCGCGAATTATTTATTTTAAAACACGATAATGGATACAAATCTTATGAACGACCAAACCTCGTGATCGATGCAGCTATTGTGTACAATATCTAGTGGCCGCTTGGCTTCCCCAGTTTTCGACAAGCCGCCAAGGGACATCGCGCCTCGAGAAAGCCGCCTTAGTTAACACTAACTTCGCTCCCCATTCGCTAAGGGCATCCTACGTTGTCGCCAATTACGACTCGACAGCACGAAGGGACTACAAAAGGAACTGTTTCGTGCATTTCAAAGGTTCTTGCCAAATGTTAAGTTACAATTTTGACCTTTATATATATACTTTTTTTTTTCACGTCTCTCACTAATCCATAAATTTCAATACGAGTATTATTTACAAGTTTTTACTATACGACGAGATATCTGTAATATTATTCACGAGTATGATAGATATTTAAAACTACCGAGTAGTACACGTCTCCGACTATCCGACGTTGTCCTTCCAATATATTTGAGCAATACGAATACATACCAAAAAATATCCTCATTTCCCCGGACACCGGGCTAAAGCCGTGATATGGTTGTATATCACAATGTTCCGTGTATTTAGCGCGAAGCGTAAAATTCCGTGTAACGTTGAGCGGTGTTAGTACCGAATACTTCGTGACTGGTTTGTCTATTGTGTATTATTAGTGTGTTCACTGTGCTGGGGACGTGTGATCTGGATGGGTGCATGCTATTACTGATTGTGGAAGTGTTACGCACAAAACAAACACCGGAGGCGTGAGAGTCCTATAGGAGAGAGAGAGAGAGAGAAGGCCATGTGGTTAGTGGTGACCACTAGTTAAGCTCCCACGCCCGAACGACAACAGACGAAAGAAAGAAAACAGACCACAGTATGAACCACAAACCGAAGGATGGAACTCATGGACAGGTAGCATGCTGTTAGTCATACGAGATACGTTAAAGCTTGCGGCGTTTTAAAGGCTTCGAAGAGCGTCAGGTCTTCGTAGGCTTCAAAGGCTGCAGATCCACATTTCCCGATCGCATTTCATACCCCATTGTTTTAACCTTCTATAGCTTTAGTTATATTACAGAAGGCTTACGGCCGAAGAGTATGCTAGATGTAAAGAACTATACGGTACGGTAATAAAGCCCACTACATTACATATCAGATGGTAAATTTGGTACGATTATATACACGAGTACACTCATAATATCGATAAGTACTAACAACACTATCATACAAACATCGGTATACCATAGACATCAATTCCCGTTAAGATTCATCTAAAAACAAATCAAGACGTCTTTCCCTCGGCGGCGATGTTCGATATATTAAATTATAAGAGATTTATACCCTTAATTAATATTAATAATTTATCTACACGTATCACATCAGATTGCGTGAATCGTTTACTTTTAACGCCTCAATACAAATATCTAAATGCGACCAACTAATCCATTCTCAGTATATTCTCCCACAATTTGCGTATACCTTACAACGATTTATATACAGTTCCAAGACAGACGCGCCTTAAAACGTAAGACTAGATTTTTACTACAGAATTAGATGTGAGATTATTTCGGTGATGTCGTTAGTTCGCTCGCAACGGACCCTCTATGCTTCGGGTTCAAATAACACTCTGAATTTAAATAAAATACTGATATATTAAAAAAAAATAATAATAAAATAAAAATAATCGAATAAATGTCAATTTCCTAAGCGTATTTGATGCAACGCGAAACACGGAAGGCCGTACGCGAGCGAAAACGGATGATTTCGAAATTTAACGATAGAGAGATAAAAAAAAACTGGTAAACGATAAAACGAAAAAATAAAAAAAAAATCGTAAACTGCCGATAACGGCCGGACTCGTTTCACGACGGCTCATATTTACAACACTGTCGACCCGGCAGAGTTTGTCTTACGTGTCCACAACGTTCCCCGGTAACGGCACGCGAACTAGTTCGGCACTATTGCACATCACTCCGCGTCAGACACGATTGGCCCTAGCGCCGCTCCGGGCCGAGGCGCAGCGGCCGCCAGTGCGGCCGCCAGTCGTGCTAGGGCTGCCAATATCAGAACTCCTCGGGCAGCACGGCGTCCCTGGGCACCAGGCCCTTCTGGTCGCCGCGGCAGCACAGCACGTACTGGTCGTCCACCTCCAGGATCAGGCGCAGGCGCTCGCCCTCGTTGAACGCCAGGTGGCCCGAGTCCGAGGGCAGCCGGTGCCACAGCGTTCGCACGTACCTGACAAGAAGCAAGTAAAGTAACAACCCATACATGTCCCACTGCTCGGCAAAGGCCTCGTACTGAGGGTATAAGGGGGTATTCCACCGCGTTTATCCTCGGTTTTTTATTCATATACTAAACATGCTTGTTTAATATTTTATCCCATAACAAGTCATACAGAAAACTTAGTTTAGACATTGCCGAAGTCATAGAGATCAGTCCATCTTAATGGAATATTAAAAATTTAAAAATGCGTGTTCCTTATTTTATTATATTGATTTCGATTCTGGCAGAAATAGAAAAATTCCATTATTTTAGGAAAATATAAGTACCGCTGATTTAAAGTCATTCCTGTAGAACAAAACAGCAATATGAACCTTCCATCACATGACTTGTATTTGCGTCATAATAGCAAACCAATTGGGAATGATTTGCACAACACACTTATTGCCAATTTAAAAGGTGAGTATGACGCACAAAACATACAAACAATTCCATTAAACGTTTAACGAGGCACTGTCGTCAACATTTCGAGTGTGACAAAACAATGGCCAATTTTGTGTGTGTTTACATTGTACGAAAACAGTAAAATCCTTTGTCCAGTAAGGCCACAACCACAAAACCATTTTACCGATAAATAATCGCGTTATTTTTATGGCAACAACTTTAGAACGGGAAATAAGACAAAGAACCAATCGTTGTAAATGTCACTGTGATTTACGATTTACATTGACGTATGTGCGCTCCTATTGCAAATTCTTAACTCGGCGATCACTATCGAGTGAGATTTAAAAAAAGGCACTATTGAACAAAATCATAACTAATTATAATCCCGTGAAGGGGTGTGTGTGACCAGGTAGTAATACTACTTGAGTATACTACCTGGTGATGATATAGTGATGTACTTACATCATCATATCATCTTCAAGCACTTGAGATGGTCGCAAGGGACAAGTTCACCTGTTTTGTTTATTTAGATGCACCAACACAGTTAGATAACATTTAAAGTTTACAAGTCATAAAATAAAAAAAGAATGTGTCACAGCACAAGGTTGGTGTGTCAGCATTACAAATTAAGAGTTAAATTAAAAATTTAGAAAAAGATAAATGAAAATAAACCAGTCAAATAATAGCTACCGATCGAGCCGAGGTCCAGCCCAGAAGGGCAACCTCGAGTCGGAATGCTAAACGGTCATTGAGTAACAGCCCAAGCCGAGGTCCCCCTCTCGGGAGGCCTTGCGCGTAGTTACTCCATGGAGCGTCCGCCAAGGGGACCTAAGAGCTTAGCGGCTTCCCAATCCGCTACTAATATTAATACGAGTAACGGCGCGAGCCGAGGCTCCGAGCTTAGTCACTCATAAAGGCTAGGCGCCCTCAGCACTCGGCCACTTAAACCCGTTTAGTTCTGTAAACGCCTCCCAAAGGCCAACAGTGAAAGGTCCAAATGGTAGGACCACGAGACAGTCTTCGCTGTTGCACAAACGGGCAGGTCCGATCGGGTAAATGCCACAACCTCACAGGAGACCGACGTGAAGTGGAAGTGTTATATTTATGCGTTTCATCTGGCGAGTGAGGTAGCCGGTGACCACTCTATTAAAAGGTGGCAACGCATCTGTAATCCTATGGGTTCAAATATCCATGGACGGTGGATATCACCCAACATCGGGTGAACCACCAGCTTGTTTGTCGTCTTACATTTAATAATAATATATTTATAAAGCCAACCAGACGAGAAAACAAATGAGTATTCCCCCAATGACAACAATAACTGCTTAGTTACGTACTTGTGTTTGGCCGCGGCGCCCGCTCTCGCCGCCGACGAGGAGGCGGCGCGGCGGGGCGCGGGGGGAGGGGCGGCGCGGCCGTACGGCAGCGACGAGGGCCGCGGCGCACCGCCGCCTCCCCACCCGCCCCCGTCCACCCGCGACGCCCTGAACACCGTTAAAACGTCACCGCACATCCCTCACCGATCCGCTCGGGACAGACCCCCATCTACCAGCTCGAGCTGAGCTGTCTTTGGACGGTCTTGCTTTACACAGCTCTTAATTCATCATCATACGACACATGACTACGTCCGTTGGGAAAATTCACTGGTCAGGGTTCATTAGTTCCCCGCCACTCACCTACACCTCCCCGAATTCTAGAGCGGTGTAGACGACTCCGATGTTCGATCTAAGACAGCTGAACTCAAGCGGGTAGGTGAAAAATTAAGTCGAGAGTTTTATTTCATAGTGCGATATATGATAATAAATCCTCGCAGTCGCTCGGACCGATGAACTTGTTATTTGTTAATAAGGATGACCGTCCATGAGATTTATTAATGGACGTGGATTGTTACTTAGCTATTTTGTTTATGTTTGTTAATGTTATTAAAATTTATTACACTTTAAAATAAGAAAACTTTACATGTAAAACTCAACTTTAAAACTAAGACAATGAGATGAAATAACTGTTATTGGATTTTAAAATTTTACTCCAGTAGTAATTAGACTTTGTGAAATTAATACGGTTATTCATAAACAATAATACATTTTCATGGAATGTATTGTAATACATATGCATAATTATTAATAATTATAAAATTATAAAAATAAAATTAGAAACCCGCTGAGAAAGCACAAAAGTTTTTCGCAATTAAATTGAAGCACTACACTAAATCCCAAACCGTAAAAATACCAAAACTTACTTAATTAATGCATTAGTAAAGTGGAATTGTGTAACGGTTTTATGAAACTGTTAGTTCGCGAAAACGTGCAGTTAGCCGCTGCGCGGGAAATGGCGAGTATTAGTCGTTTTAAGTCTCTTCCGTCCAAATATACATACGGTGATTTCTTAGCATTGGGCGCGATTTTAGCGACAGCTTCGTTTGCTGTCGTCGGTCGCGTTTTGTTCGCGACGGCTTTCCACGCCGGCTTCTGATTGGCCACTCTGGAGATATGTGTGCATATTGTAAAGCTGTGTGGGTAGATCTTAGTGACAAAGTTCCAATATTCGATGCCCGATTGTAATCCCCTAAGGTCATAAATATATTCAAATGTGTGTTTTTCCATTAATTAACAAATAAATAATCTTTATTTTGAAGATTTCTCAAAGAGAAAGGATAAGAATAACTATTTCGATCCTTCAATATATTTTACATCAAGTTTTAAATTTGATATTAGATAGAATTTGATATTATCAGTATACATTTCACAATCACTAAAATCCACCACAAGAAGTAAAGGAAAGTGCAATTACAATATTTTAATTATCCTCTAATTGAGCTCTTTAAGACCATCGCAATATAAGCAAATTAACATAAATATCTAATAGTAAAACCATCTATGTTTAACCCGTAAAGAAGAATATTGGTAAGCGCAACAATACAATTTTAAGTCCACCACCAAGTGCTGAATAATATTCTTATCATTCGTTCGCTAGTATCAATCACCATTCACAATTCATTCGTAACAGTCACTCACTCTTATACTTCTCAAAAAATGACAATAGTGTATAAGAACGAGTATTTTAAAATGGCGTCTGCGTACCATCTGTTTTCACTGACAGTTCAGACTAACGGCGAAATCAGACTTCGCATTTTTTATTTTTTTGCTAGTAGCATATACGTTCCGATAAATGCATTATTAAATCATCATAACATGATATACTTTTATAATGAGAACGAATGCAACGGCCGTCATAGGCTATGAACATTTTGTTACCTGTTGGCCGGTTGGGGCGCTTTCTTCGTATTAGCCGCGCCTCTGGCGGATGCGGAGCGTGGTGTAGACGTTGTAGGCGATGAGCCTTTGCGCACGGGAACTGGTATACCTCTGCAAGAGATTTTAAATTCAGTGTTAACAGAGGATGTGGGATTCTTTGCGAGAATTATTTAATACTAGCTTTTCAACAGTGGCCTCGCTCGCGTTGAAGCCCTTAAATAAATATCTTTCTTTAACCTTTCAACCCTTTACAACACTTTTTTTCCAATTAAAAAAGCCTATGTCCTTTCTCATGCTCTAGACTATCTGTGCACCAAATTTCATTTAAATCGGTTCAGTAGTTTTGTCGTGAAAGCGAGACAGAAAGACAGAGTTACTTTCGCATTTATAATATTAGTATGGATTGTAAGCCAACTGAGAATAAGTTTGTCATATTTAGACATAGTACACAATGTCCCATATTTTTAGGGTTCCGTACTCAAAGGGAAAAACGGGACCCTATTACTTAGACTCCGCTGTCTGTCTGTCCGTCTGTCTGTCTATCTGTCACAGATGATATTTTATTTTTGTTGCCGCTAAAAGAACAAATGCTAAAAAATAGAATAAAAAAATATTTAAATGTGGCTTCCATACAGACATGATTTTTTTTTGCCGTTTTAGTAGTCAGGTTCAAATGTGAAATATTTGCGTTAACAGTGGTGTAAATACACATGCGGTGGTTAGAATAATGGAAACGTGGATTCAGAAATTAATTGCACGTTATACATTGAGATGTTCACATGCATTTCATTCCAATTTTCTTGGGTGAGTAGTATAATAGCAATATGAGAAATATGTAAAACTATCAAATAAATACAACATATAGTAGTCTACTGACTATCATTGTATACCAAAATATTATTATTAAACATGGTAAACGAAAGCTTCCTTAAGCTCTCTAACAGCCAAGCTTATTAATCGAGAAAATTATTACAATTGAAGACGGATCCAATATTGTAGACAAAATTAAATTATGATATATGGAGGATAATGGGGGATAATTTACCGTTGAGCGTTTTTAGCGGGCGACGCCACGCTAGGCGCTTGAGGACGCACGGGCGATGAGACGGGCCTTGGGATCTTGGAACCACGAGCTGCCGCCGGAGAAGTTTCCCCTGGAAAATCAAAATTATTCGTCATTAATACCTCCTCTGCTAGTTACGGAAGGCTATATTTAGCAGCGGACTAACAGTTTGAAAAATCGGCGGTGACACACGGACAGACAGACGGACAAGAGAGAGTGATCTTAATATAAGGGTTCCTTTTTTACCTTTTAAGGTACGAAACCCGAAAAAAAGATGATGTTCATAGTCCGATTTGCCATTTAATTCGATAAACACAAACAATCGCGGCCAAATTTCATTAGAATTTTAATGAACATCTTCATTAGAGATAATGGTTTGTGTGTTCTATAATTATGTATTTGTGTTAGTTAACTAAACTGTTGAGAACGGAAATTATTTTTTTCGTTAAATCATTTGAAATTAGGGGCAACAGGAAAATAAACATGACATTGGTACCATTTTTAAACAGATCCCAATGTAAACAACAACTATTTAATTATATACATATATTATACCTTTTCAAATAGTTTTCTGTATGCACCGTCGAGTGCCAATTCGTATTAAAGATTAATATAATTAAAATACTATATACTCTATTCTCAACGTGTAATACAAACGTGTAATGGGAGCGAGACAGAAAACAGCTTAGACTACGGTGCGAGCGAGACGGCAATATTATCCCATGTCTCTATTTAAAAAGGTTACCGGGAGGGGATGGGTATCGATATAACGGCCGGATATCGATTACGTAAACATGCAGTATAAACACGATAAAGTCTATTCTTAGGAAGTGTATTTGGTCTATAATCCATAGCATGTATATTGTATATTATAAAATCTGTGTTGTAAATGTAACTGTTTCTAGAATATTATTTTCATTTAGGAAATGTTCAGCACGCGCCGGATATGGTGTCCACCGCCCATTGTTCATCGGACAAGTCCACTCATACGACTACAAAAATAGTTTTGCACGCCAACAATTAAATAATAAATAGTATAGCGAGACATTGAACTTTGACGAAGCAGTTTGTTCCGGTATGACTTCATCGCCGGGTGCAGACGCAAAAAGAAATTGGCAATGGAGCCAAAGGTGTCGTTTAATTTAATTTCAACGAAATAATAGAATAGGATTTTCGTGTACATTTTGCGGTACAAAAACTGTTCATTCGTTTAGTTGTCATCGCAAATTAAGTATGCAAAAAAGATGTTTTTCGACGTAATAGCTATTTATTTTATTTTTGAGTTCTATTTGAAAAACATTTAGGGATTTTATAATTAGGGTTCATATGATTCCTTAGTCATACAAATAAGTTTTAACTACGGTCAGTTTACAGTTTTGAAATAACAATTTATTTATTTCGTTTATACTGTATTAAGTAATTTAGGAAGGTATCCGTTACGATTTTTATTCGCTGAATTTTATGATATAAAACATACAGCCATATAGATATACATGTAGAAATTTCAAAATATACATACGTGTAAAGGTATAATAATATGTATAATTTTTTGACAAGATCCTTTTCCATAAGTACCTAATTAATATTTTATATCTCCACGTGGCCTTATGCTAAAAACACATCATGATATAGTGTAAAGCGTTCAATAGCATTTTAAAAGCCCTAAGTAATATCACAGTCTATGAGTTTATTCCTTTTTTACGTTGTGGTAATATTATTCCCTGTTTAAAGAATGTACTCGTATTGATGGGACAGCTGCTACTACACACTATGGTTTTGCGTGAGGGGAGGTCTCTTGTTATAATAGGATTATACTATTATTACTACTCATTGTTAAGTCGACCTATTTTACGGATTTTATTTTGATAGAAATCCCCTTCGTTTTGGAAATTTTACCGTGTAAGACATAATGATAAAGTTTTCAAAACTAAGGGAATGAAACTTAAAATTATACACAATAAAATCTTTAGCAGCAACAGTTTTATCTATCAATGAGGAGTATTTTTGTAAACCAATAGCATTTTTTAATCTAATAATAAACTGCATTTATAAATATTATATACTCTTGCTGACATTTGATTATTGATATAAAAGAATTCGTGTCCAATCCTATTTTTAAATTGCCCACGATTTTGGTGTGTGTACCTACGTTTTAATAACAAAGAGTCTCATTTAACAAGATTAAATTAAAAAAAAAAGCCGATAATATGTCTATTTCTATTTATGTCTATTTTTAAAAATGGAAATAAGGTAAAACAGGTGTGAGATGGTACCTGAAGGCGTCACGGGGCTCTCGGCATTGCTGAGCATTTCCCACTTTAGTTGCAGCCTTCGGAATTTCCCGCCCGAGTTGGTGGCGTTTGCGGAGTTGCCACTCGCGTTGCCGGTGTTGCCACTGGCGCAGCTTCCCGCCGAGCCCGGCCGCCACTCCTCGCCGCTGCATTCCAGCTGTAAAATAAAAAAAATATATATTTTCGTGAACATTCGATACGTAAAACAATTACTTCAGTCAAATGTTCACATTAGAAAAAACCCACATATCTATATCACATAAATAACTTGAGATAAAAATACCATTTATATTTTGTCATACTTTTTTATGTATCAGGCATAATCTGAAAACTGTATACATAACGCCATTCAGAGTATTAAATTAAAATCAAGAAATTCTAATATGAAACCACTCAACATAAATGTAACTAAATATGTGAAACAGTTTCTTGAGACTTCGTATTTAAAAAATATATAATTTATGTACAACAGTATAAAAAGATTAAAATTACTACACATTTTACAAGTACTACAGGAAAACATAAATAGTTCAACTAGGTATATATTAACTGTTTCCGCGTGCGTCATTAATAATGTGTCACAATTATGGGGAATAACGCTTGTTACAAATGACCATATGTTAGTATCGGGTTAAAGTAGCTAGAACTAAACCACAAACAACCTACCTAATGGGCAGTTCAACACTAAACACCAATAAGGTACACACAAAACACGTGCAACACACCACGCACCAGTACATCAAAACGTCTAAACGACACTGCAAAAAATAACGAAAGTGCTGCTGGCTGAAAGCGTATGCTTGTAGCAAATAAAAAAAAACGAAAAGAAACGATTACCTATAAACGAAACAAAGGATCGCTATGAAACGAAGCACACAAATCCACACGGGCCCGCGGAATTACCTTTAGCTCGTTCCCGGCCCTCGGCGCCGTCTTATTATTCTCTAAGCTATCAGTGTATTCGTCACTGTCGTCAAACACGAGCCGGTCGAAGGCCTGCATCAGTTTCGAGCCGAGCTGCACCCCGGACCAGCGTCTGTTGTTCTCCATTTCTATTCGGCTGTTGTTCGGACACATGTCGTAGCCGATCGTGGTCGGGTTGACGCACGAGCGCGGCCGGCTCCTCTCGACGGCGGTCCTCACGTTAGCCGATTCGTTGAGCAGGTCGGGGGTGGACGGCTCCCGGTTCTTGGGCTCTTTGTGGCGCATTATGACGCTAGTGAGACAATCGTCGCTAGACAGCCCGCTGGACTGCATCGACCGGACCAGCTTGAGGAGGTTCCGCTGGTTCAGTGTTAGTGGCGGGTTAATCTGGGCTGGCTGTTAAATATATGAAAATTCTCGTTTTAGGTTCATGCAACATGCCGTCGATTGGTCGGCCACTCGGTGGCTTCGCCGCTCGCTATCGTACGGTTTATTTGCATTTTATGAGAGCTGTGCCGCGGCAGTGGACGTTCGGGCCATGGATTTCGTGATCTCGTGAACGTCAAGCACATGCAATAAATAAAATGCAAATAAAGCGATGCCCGCCTTATCGGTGTAGAGCACGGTGCGAGATCGATGCAAATGACGATTACTCACCGCTGTTATCCGGCCCAAAATTTACGGACAGTGTTAAACGTGTTATTCGAGAAATCGTATGCATTCAGAGACGGAACTCACCCGGCTTGCGACGCGCATGTCGCTCTCGATTCTCTTGAAGCTCCTGTGCAGTTCTCTCATTTCGAACATGAGGTCCAGGGAGAATGGCAGCAGTTTGAGTGGTTCGAGGCTGGCCAGTAATGTGTCCAAAAGGGCTCGGCAGCGCGGCTCTCCGATGCAGCCCGCTAGTATGAGCGAGTCGGGCCCGTAATGCTTGGCCAAGATAGATTCCCTCGTCCGCACGTAAGAGACCCACGCGTCGACTGTTTGCGCGCTGCAAAAGAAGAACAGAAAATTAATTTCAATTCTAGTTTTTCATTAAAATGTACAATGTGGTGCGAAAAATTTTTAGTTTTCAAAATAACTTCATCATACTTAAGAAGTCCGAGGATGAAGGCGTTGAATTTTACGAGGCCTTCCGTCACCGCGTCTTCGCTGTTTATTCTCAATACCAATTCATTCAGCGACTTTGTAATTGGACCTTCAACAAAATAATTAAGAATTTATTCATTCTTAATTCATTATATCATTCAAAATTTTCGATCAATATTACTGCGCTCTACCTTGTCTAGCTGTTGCTTCGACCATTTGCCAAACGGAATTGTTAACGGCCCCAAAGGATGTTTCGATGTTCTCTTTTAGGCCATCTCTGAATATCGCATAGAGGGCAGGGCACAAAGCGTTGAGGGCCAGTTTGGCGCAGGCTGGCGACTGTTTGGAGTCACCCAAGAAGGTTAACTCCGCTTGGTCTGTTGCCGGCGAGAAGTGCTGGATCAGCATTTCAACGGCATCCGTCACGTTCGAAACGAGTGCTAAAGAAAACACAGTACAAAATTAAATTTATCATTGCGCAAACAAACAAATCAAAAAACATAAACAATCCTTACTAATATTATAAAGGCGAAAGTTTGTATGTATGGATGGATGTTTGTTACTCTTTCACGCGAATACTGCTGAATGGATTTTAATGAAATTTTGCAATAATATAGCTTATAACTCAGAATAAGACATAGACTATAATTTAAATACATATTTTATGTATATCTGTCTTTCTGTCTGAATGTTACGCCTTCAGCCTATTCTACGCAGACGTAGTCGCGGGCAGCAGCTAGTAGTAAATATAATCAGTAATCAAACCTCTCTTTTGTGATACGTCGATAACGTCGTACTTAGGTCTTCCTTCTTGATGCTTTGTTGGGCCACCATATTCATCAGGGCTCACTTCAGCTTCTTCACAAATCGGTAATTCGGCTAAATTTTTACCCTAAAATACCGGAAAATTACGAGTATATTAAGCGTAGCGGTTACGACAAAAAATATCAGACAAGAATATGCAAATGGTTCAAGCGAAATACGAATAAAGAAGCAAAAGGAAAATAATAAAGACGAAAAAATATATAGATAAAAATAAAAACAGCTTTACACAGAAACAAAATCGAAGGAAAAAACTCAAAGTACTCACAAAACTCAACGTGTAATATGATGCGGGCAAGGTGAGTGAAATTTAGAAATATTACCTGGTAATGTCTTTGAGTTAGAGCAGCAGAGATATTAGGTGAGTTAGGTGGGGTTGAAAGACTTCCTACTTTAAGTTCATCCATAGCCTTCAATTGAGTCTGTTGACCCTCAACCTTGGCATCGGACTTTTGTGCAAAGCTGACTGATTTCTTGCTATTGCAACTGCTTCCGCTAGAATCTGTCGATCTCTGATTCTCCTCTTGAGACCTTTTCATCTGTAGGAACTTCGTGACCTGACTTCTTACCTTTTGCACTTGATTTTGATCCCACTCATCCATATTCTGACAGTTAAATCCACTTTGTTTCAGGAACTCTTCTAACTGTTGCAAATCGGCGCTGCTTATTAATGCACCAGGTGGCGGGAAATCAATATACTCCATTTTCTTCGTTCTTGGCTTTGGCATCGGAGGTGTATGGGGCCGATGGAACTTCAATTCATTAGATTTTCCTGATTCTAAACTACTCTCTGTTCCGACACCTTCATCTTGATAATACTCATTATAGTCTATGTCTTTATCGGCCGCATCAAGAAATTGGTGTGAAAGCCTCTTGGCTGCTATATCGTTGTTCTTTCTATAATCAGTAGTTTGATTTTGTAAATAGTATGGCTCTTGTAGGGATCTTCTCTTTGTCTTTTGTTCAGTAATAGCTGTTGCACACACAATAGGGTCTTGAATAAATTCATCCAGTTCGAACATGCTGTAACGTTTTGTTTGAGCGGTCGTTTTGCGAGTTTTATCCATCGATTTACGCAGTATGCCTTTGGGTAACGGAGGCCTTGGTGGGGCCAGTTCTCCCTGTTTCGCTAAACGTGCTTGATCAGCTAAAGACAGAGAGCGTTTCGGAATTGAGGGATTTATTCGCTGACCGTCATTATTTGCGCAGCTCGCTTCAGAACTTGTAGCAGAATCGTATCGATACACAAACAAGGGATTAAAATTCCCCGCAGGTGCTGGGCTGTTCTGTGCTGAAGAATCAGTCAACATCGTAGACGAACCTCTGTAGCCTGACGACGGCTGAGTGGCAGTGCTCGAACTCGAAGAAACCGCCGTTGTGTTTCCTGTTAAATTGTTACAATCACAACTCATTGGTCTATTCTTAGCTCTAGAGAAAGGAGACGTACTACAGTACCTATCACTAGATTTTGACGTACCTTCTTTCTCTTTCATGTGTTGCATTAGTTCAGGCATTTCTGATAAAAGCTGTTTACACTCCAATGGTAATAAAAAGTTTAGCGAATCCCAATCCTTGATGTGACCAAGACCTTTTTTCTTCAGCACTTCCACATCATTACACGAAAAAGGTCTTTTGCCTTTCCCTTGCATTCTAGTTTTCTTACCATCTGTTGACTTTGGAGATAAGTTTACTTTTAATGGGTTGAGGTAGATATTTGGTCTACCGTTCAAAAAGCTTATATCAGGCAAAGTATAGTTAGGATATAAAACAAAAACTGGTTTTTCACAATCTCCTTCTTTAAGTTTTTCTAGGAACGAAGGTTCTATAACTTTAAATATTTCGCGGTCATGTGGTATATTCGATACCTGCATATTCGACGTTTGCATACCCTTGTCTATAGTGTCGTTCTCGAGATGAGTAGATGTTGATTTATTGTCGTAAGGTTCTTTTTGTAAAACTCTGTTTAATCTAGTAATTTGTGTTCCATCAGATTCCGAACAACTAGAAATGCTAACACTCGTTGAGGATTGGGACGAGCATGATTTTCTGGTGAGTCTCATTTTCGAGGGGCTATTAACGTTAAGACCGGCTCGTTTAATATGGGGCTTATTTACCACAGCATAGAGATTACTCTCGCTATCACTCATCTTAGCTCTATCAGCAGTTTCCTCCTCTTCAAATAGCACTTCTTCGGCTACCTTACAGTAGGCATTTACAGGCCTGATTTCCTCGTAAACGTTTGAGGCTTCTTCCACGTCATCGCTAGGTATTTGTATTTGTGGCCTCTCGATTGCCGCCGTTTTTAAATCTTCTTCCCTCTGTTCTCCGATTGACTCACCGCTTTCACCACCAGAACTGGAAGGCCAGCACTCGGATCTATCAAGTTGATCCATTGTCACGATTCCATCGTTGCTGATGCTCTTTTGTTTCATGAATAACTTAACAAGGTTAAAGGGCTGTTTGGGTTGACTTTTGTCCGAAGAGGTGTGATTTTCGGTCGAGGACGTGCTCATAGGTTCCGAATGCTGGCTTCCGTGTGACGATCGATTTTGTGACACATCGTATACTTTCATACAAGTAGATGTGCCCGTAAGCCTCTGGTTGGCCGTGAATGAGTCGACCTAAAAATAAAATTGTGTTAAATAGTAACAGTGATGAGGTAAACGAGTGTTTAATTAGAAACGCAATGCTATACATACCGTAGAGTTGCTTAGAGCGGTCGAAGTGATGGAACTGTTCATGAGTTTTCTTCTATAAAGATTTGGCAAACTTTGGCTTTTTATGACCGAATTGTTCATGTCGCTTGTACCATCGGCCATTTCATTCGAGTCTTCGTTATTGTTACCGGATGGGTGCCTACAACGAGGTGCGAAAGTAGAAAAGAGAATTTGTTTAACAATAAACGCGATACGAAAACCGTGAATAATTTTACTTACCTCCTTAAGGGTGACTGAATGGTTTGTTTCTTAAGTTTACTCCACGTAGTTAATCCTAAATCACTTCTAGCCATAGACGTTGTTAGCTTATTTGTCAATTTCTTACACCTTTCTAATAATTCTAAATTCCTGCGCGTTCTTTCATCACTATCAATTACCATGTTAGTTTCTTCCTGTCCTAATTTGTCTGCAATAATCAAAGACGTTAGCTGGACGCTTATCATGAATTATGAGCAATAGCGATTCGTCATGTGATTCGTAAACATAACGTCATGGTTATTAAGCTCTAATCTGTTATCCGATGTTTTACACGAAATTTTTAAACAAAATTGCACTGAAAACGATAATAAGACTATTATTTACCAACTGCTCCTTACGAAATATTTCTTAATTCTTTTTATAACATTAATAGGTTATCAAGTTAAGTATATTTAACATATAACCCGTTTATCTATATAAAACGTTTTGCATTAAAATTTTAATATGTGGCTATTAAGACTGTCACTTGTTGTACCTTCATTAGTAATACCGAAAAAACAATGATTACCATGTCTTTGATTGACGGCCAGTTCGGCGCACTCACTGTCCTCAGAGTAAATGGTGAGGCTGCCTTCGAAGGCTATGGTGTAGTTGTCCTTATTGGCCTGGCAGGTGAGGATGAGGTCCTGTTCCGTTGGCAGCTCGCAGTCGAGACTGTCCACGCTGAAGTGGACACCGTGGCCGCCCTCCTTCACGGGCGAGAAGAGCAGCTCCGACTTGCATATTGACATCGTGTTGATCGAACCGACGGACTCTTCACCCTAACACCCAACATCGAAATCAATACACGCGTTTCGTTCCATCTCCAGTGAACATAAACAAGTTAGCAACGGTAGCTTGTGCTTTTTGAACACAAACGTTCGATTTTTTTTAATAATTCTGTGCGTTGAAAGTTCGTATACTACTGATTTGTTTCGTTTTGAACCTATAGAATAAAACATTAAAAGCCGTGTTACATATAAAGTGATATCGAAGTAGGCTGTGTTTATCTGTGTGAACAGGATTTGGTTTTCGTTCCCGGAAAGTTTCGAAACGTAAACGTGCATTAGTTGGAACATAAACATTCGTCCACCAAGTGTATTTGAACGCCGATAGAAGACGAAACCTAAAATAAAACTCTCCTTCCATCACATTGACACAAGATACTGAATGCATTTAATCTATCAGAGATTTAAAAAGAACGAAATCCTTTATTGTTGTCGTCAACAACACAACTACAACTCGAGTAGGACAGGGCATATTTTCAATTATTATTATTTTATATTTATTTATGATTTCATTTTCGCCATATTTCAAGCCATTAAACATGTTCCAAAAGATTTCATTTGGTAAAATACAAAACATTCATATGTTTTTTCCCTATAAGTCAATATATTTTATTATCAAGGGAAACAAATATGTGTATAATCTATACGAGTTTCTCAGTACAGTGGAAAACAGTTCTTGCTTTGTTTCAATTGGCAACATTCGGTACTACTGCTGAATCTCTTCTGCTACTATCCTTTATGATATATCTCTATAGATGATTCCAGTCTATATAAATATATGATGTACTAGTTGAATCAAATAAGAATTTTGATTTCATGTTCAACCTGTCACTGAATTCCCACTGACGGCCAGTTCGGCCGTCAGAGTGGGAATTCGTATATTACGGTCCGAGTGAAAATACCACACATTTGATTCTAAAACGCGCCATATTTTAATTATTTATATTATATTTTCAAAGCTTTCGTTAACACGTAGCACTCGTAGCGGTCCAGGACGCAACATGGCGGACGCGGGTCGGGCGTTATCATCAATTTAATTCCTTTTCCTGCTACAATGAGGTCACAAATCAAACAACGACTCACACAGTTCATAACATCAATGCCTAAGTACTTCAACAGTTTACACTTGCAGAAATAATGAATAAAACTTTGGAGTGTTTTTTTAATAATGCGGGTATTCGAAAATAAATATAATGCGACAACTTTTCTATTGATTAACTCAAAGCATAGAGCAATAAAGATAATTTTTATGTTTAAAGACAATAGGTTAACGCCAGTTCGTGCGTAAGTTAACTATCGGAAAGATAAATAAGCATTCTTATTTAAATTAAGTATAAGCATGAATATTTAGATAAATTAAATTGGATCGATATTTCGGTTGCAATAATATTCCAAAGTGATTTATGTTGAATCAATGTTCGAGAATAATATAACTCACGGAATAGTATCCATTATAGGACTCCCAGTCGAATTCGGTCACACCCATGTTTAATTTGTCCAGTCTAAAAGTCTCTAAGGAAACACTCCGTATATCAACGTCCAACTACCTCGCTACGAATAGATTTCTGCCCTTAACACTTACACTATCGATGCACTGTTCCTAAATTATTCACAACATAATCCTTAACGCACTATCTAACGCACACACAACTGTTAATGAGCTCTTGAATTGGACACTGATGTGAAAATGAAAAATCACTCGTTATCGAATTCATTGCAAGGAAGCGCAGAGAACAACAGTCCCGAATGCCCAGGCGCTACTGGGGCAGCGGGTATATTAAATTTAATATTAGGCCCGCATGTGGCGCTCAAACTGTATCGTAACACGGAAAGTTTTTGCGGCGTTGACAACCATCACGCGCACCGTTTCAACATTAACTAACAGTAGAGCGCTTACAAGAGCTGAGGTCGAAATTAAAAAGAACGGGGAGCATAAGTGCGGCTCTAATTTACCAAATAACAACTCAAACTTTGTAAGTAAACAATGAAAGTAATTAGTTTACATAATTCGTTTAATCGCAAGCTTGCCAATGTTTAGACAGTGTGAACTTTGAGTAGCAGTGGCGCGATGAATAGACTTCGTCGGCAACGCACACATGGCGGCAGCATGAGCACGAACACATTGACCGGAATAAATATAGAACACTCACACAGACACCGTGGAGGGAATGACTGTATGAACGGGGGAATAAGTGTAGTTGAAACGATTGACGCAATTTCGTGTAAGTACACCGACACACACATCTAGAATGATCTTATTATATCTCTACAACTGGCACATCCCGTGGGACCAAAGTACCATGGGGTAACAGTGTATAGGGAAGTGTTATTACGAATGCTAGCCAAGTATTGTGGGCTTTCCACTTATTTATATGTGCGTGCCAAACACTCGGCTCGATTACTCCAGGGACGTAGCATCGTGCTTATAAAATCAGTTATGACCTTCATCGATAGCGCTGCTCGCACTTTTTTAATTACGTAAAAACGTTTAAAAATTACTAACAGTAGGCCGTTGAGAGCTTATAAAGATATCGTAATTTAATATTTTAGAAAGTGGATTAGAAATGATTTCTTATAATTTATGTTTTAAAAAGGCGTGTAAAGTTTCCCGAACTTATCTATAAAAATATTTACAGTTAAAAGATACTAATCACTATTTTATTTAAAGTTTCTATGTACGATATGTTATATATGAAAGGCGTATTTAATGGATTGAATAAAAATAGAAACGAGAATAAATTTTGGGACAGCGCCATCTATTGGGAGAAAAGACTGTATAAAAGTTACAATATCTGAATACTAGCCGGAACTATTTTTGCTATAGCGCCGAATTCTAATTTTCTATTCGCATTGTTTTCTAAATTGGAATCAAATTTAATTAACCAAAATAGTTATCAATACATTTAAAAATTTCATTTAGATTGCGTACACAGTTAAATTCATATTTTGGCTGGTATAATTATCTCATATTTTTGTTATAACCAAAATGATATGGACAAAAAAGTTCATATATAAATAAACCTAATGACAAAATGGATCACTAAACTAAATCGAACATTACAAAAAAAAAATATTTGATTGACTCTGCATTTCTATTTAATATTTTCTATCATCCTTAACACGTTCTGAACATGTCAAGTATTTAGGTCAAATGACTATAAAGTCAAGCTATTTGCATCTAAAATATAAAAATAATAAAACCAGCAATACACATTATTTCTCGAGATTATTACTTACAAACTATTTTATCAGTAGCTCAATTTAGGATTCAGGATTGTATATCTTAGCGTGTATTTTGCATCAGTGGTGTTAATGCACAAACGATATTTAATTAATTTAAAGAGTAAAAATAAGTTTCTGCGGTGTAAGTTTCTCATGCACCTAGCCTGACGGTCAAAGCAAGACTTCACACGCCACAAACATTCAATCTCATCTAATCGTTTGCTGTGTTATAATGAGATTAGCGTGTGTGAAATGAGTTCAATGATGAATTGATGGATGCAGCAATAGAGTAACACTGAACAGCAAAGCGGGGCGAACCTGAATACTACTGTCGCCACTGATAGAGCTGTCGAACCGAAATTTCTCCATGAGAGAGTTCGAGATGCTGGCAAACATCTCTCCCCGAGGATTACTCTGCAATACACCACAATATGACAACTTATCCACCGCGAAATTAGTAAGGCACTGAAAAATAAATATACTATATACGGCTTGCGTATATAAACAAAAGTGAAATAATTAAAAGGGATAAATTATCGATTGATGTAATTAATAATGACCACAACACCAGAAGTATTTGAATGTTTATGAGATAACGTGTTTCTAAGAAGTGTTAAAGATAAGAAACAATAAATTAAAAGCATCTTCATTTTGCTTTAGGTCACTCATTCTAATTCCAATTGTCGCAATAACTACTTTTAAATCGAATATACCTACTTATATTATGATAAATATTTATTGTTCCGTATTTCCACATGGGAGTATAAATCCATTAATTACTTAATCATAATTCAAATGAATTCCAACAACATTTCGGTCTATACGGAATTCTGTCCATTTAACATTTTATAAGCAATTACTACTACAATTAAATCTGCAAACCTTTTACTTTATGTACGATGACAATATAGTGTTATTATTAAATAAGCAATTTTTGACCTAAGAAGTGAACAACCTTTAAGAATTACGAGTATCATGTAACTAACAAATGTTAATAATAAATATTAAAAATAAATGAAAAAATTAAGAACCTCCACATAAATATTATACGAACGAGTTTGTATGGTATAATCACTAATTCTTTCAAATCTCTCAAAAAAGCATTTCGTATACGTTAAATTGGAAAAACAATTTTTTATCATTTCATGCAATATAATATGTTATTGAGTATGCACTTGTTGCACTTGTGATACACGTTTTATTGTACTAGAGATCACGTTAATATACTGTTAGCAATGGTGTAAAGGTTATTTCACTTATTTCACTAACGAATTTCATGCACATATAATTTCGACATTAATTTACTGACTACGTTTTTGTATTGACGGCGAGGAATTGTGCTTCGTCCTTCTTATAATATCCACAGACATCGCAATTAAGTACTCACATTTGTAAGGTTTTTTGTGCTGTTATACAAGACGTAGAAAAGAATTGTTGATGGTTTCTTAAGTTCATACGTATGAGATATATGATGAAATATTAATGTAATTACAGTTACATACCTAAGATACAATATAATTAACCTTCATGGAATTAACGAATTAGTAACGTATAATATAACGTAGCAAAAAATTAATCACTTAGTACTTTTCAGTATCTTTTTCGTATGTGTATTTTTCCCTCTTAAAACAGCTATATACATGTATGTACTTGCATATGTGTAATTAATAATGTTACCAAATATCATCACGATTTTACTGGTCAGATGTTGAAACATTTTTGGTTGTCCAACCCCGCATAATTGGAACAGTAGGAGTTTACTAAAAAGTCTCGAACATTTAACCGTATTTGTGACGTGTAGTTTGCTGTTAGCCTGGCGGCTTTGACAGTTTCGGCAGAAGTGATCCGCAGGCAGACGACCCGCGGACTTTGGAGAACATCATAGGTACGATAAGTATTGTCGTTCTTACCGTAATAGAAGCGACAGGTTTATCAGTCGACGTAGATCTTGCAGCTAAACCTGTTGCTGCAAATACCACGAAAATAACCGTATACGGGATAACTTACGTCGTGCGCCCGATCATCGGCCATGGTGTCGTGCGGCAGATTGGCTGTCATGAGGAGAGCGTGGATGTCTTCTGTCCTGAAGCTCTCCATGTCGGCCTCCGCAAGGTTGGCGTCGAGGTCGCGGGCGATGTCGTTGTATCGGGAGGTGAACTCGAAACGAGAGGTCAGCTCGCCTATGCCCTTGTACGAGGCGGACACGGAAGAGAGAACGGACGTGTGGTGGCAGGTGCTGTCTCGGAATATCGGACTGAAAGAGAGGGAAAGCGATACGTGAGAGCGTTGCAAACAGTTATCGGGGGTATTACTAAAGCCGTCGAATAAGATTTATGCTTGGACGATTGCTTTACGCGACCATATGGCCGCAAGGTGACCGCAGTTGCCGAGTTGTCCAGCGAATGCGGCCTACTACGCGTTCGTTGATTTGAGCTGATTGTAAGTATAATTTTGACTTGTTCAAATAATTAAATTTCGAATTCAGTAAGGTTATATAAACAAAAAATAGCACATAAATAGCGGTTGTAAAACTATATAATAAATAACTTGTTTAAAAGCAGAGCCGTGATAGCTCAGTGTTCGGGCGCTCTCTAGTTCAATATACTCGAGCAACCTGGGTTCAAATCCCGGTGTTGACATCAATGATATTGTTAATTGCAATTATAAATGGTATCACTTGCTCAGCGGTGAAGGAAATATATCATGGGGATACCTGCATACTTTCGACATAATAACAAAAAAAAAATATTTCGAATATATGTTAAGTCTGCCAATTCACAGTGCAGTTGCATGGTAGCATGTGCCCCAATATCCTCTGTACAGAGGAGGCGTTTACCCAGCCTGTTACTTTACTTAGTTTGTTTTTTTAAGTAAATCTCACCACTATTAAAATGCGGAAGTTCGATCGTTAACGTATTTTTTCTCTTTTCGTGCCGTAACTGATGAGCTAATATACAGGGAGATTTTTTGAGAAGTGCCCAAATTTACACAGGAGGTTCGCACTCGGTAGTATAATCGTTTATTGAAATGAAAAACAATATTTTTTTTCCAAAAAAATGCCATTCTATTCCCTAAAAACAGAACGTGTTGACAATGTGGTAGTCATTCATAAATACCTAAATTTTACTGTGCACGAACTTATGTGCGTGTTAGTTATGAATGATCGCGCGTAAAATAAATGAGTTGTGTATAAATCACGCACTTTCTGAGATAAGTTCAAATTAATGTAATTAATTACTTACGAGTGATTTTAAATATTTATCATTTTTATATAACATTATTTATGTTAAGAATTTAATTAGAATTTAATAAATTTAAGAAAAAGAACACACGGACGAAGGCTCAGGTAAAGATTAGAATCTAGAATCTTGATACCTAAATTCAAGTCAAACCTACCTATTTTCCGTTACATTTGCGATATCTGTGCTATTGCGAGTACAGTTATAACACAGTATCTAACAATAGTTTCTAGTATTTCCTGGTGGGATTGCTATCAAGAGCCAGTTTCGATAGACTAAGCTCGCCGCCTGGCACCGGTCGCCATCTCACCGATCGATCTGGGTCGGTAATATTCGCAGGACGCCGTGCGGAATTGTCATCCTTTGTTGTTCCGGTTTTGTCACGTGCGGAATTAAAGTGTTGCTAAACTTGTACAGACAGAAGTTTAATATTAAGTTATTAATATACATATTGTCAAACAAATGTACACCTCGCGACAATGTACATGCGCTAAATGGACCTTTTAACCATAACAATAAACTTTATCAGAAGAAGCCTAATTACATTTAAATTTATTTTTGACCCCCACACTACGCAATGCCTGTCCTATGGGGGTTGGTTCTCATTTTTATCAACATACTTCAAAAAATCGAGGAGGTTCTTAATTCGATTGTATTTTTTTATTTGTTACCTCAGAACCCGGTTCTGTTTAGCTTCCAATGTCGTCAGATGTAAATTTTATAGTATTGGATATTAGACAATGGAAATACACCAGGGAGGTGCACAAAATCATAGATGTTATAGTGAGTGAGATATTTAATGTTGGTTTTATTTTTTCGTGATAAAAATGAAGTGGTTTAAAAACGGTATGGTAGATATTCAGCTGCTTTAGCTGTTAGTAAGTAATGATTAAAGCAGTCTATGGAAAACTACAATAAGAAAAAAAGCTTGAGGGACAAAAGAAACAGCTCTTTTATATGGTCTTTTTTATTTGGTGTCAATTAATCTAAAACCTTTTTCGTCGATTTATTATATACAATTTATAATAAATTTTAAGGTTTAAACCAAAACATTTATCAATTAAATATGTAAGTAACAATACTAACAACCATTACCTTACAATCTGTACCGTTCAAAGACGTCACAATGTTAACATATTACGATGACCTTTCGATTTAGTTTTTATATATTTTGTTTTTTAAGTGAAAAGTTGTCAAGCGAGCAGACGGTTCATCTGATGTTCAGTGAATACCGCCGCCCATAGTCATCTGCTACACCCGAGAGTTGCAGATGCGTTGACAACCTTTTGAAAATTGGATTCTGGCCACCTCACTCACCAGACCAAACGCCGGCTCTCTGTGAGGTCGTGGTACATACCCGGACGAGCCTGCCCATCCGTGCAACAGCTGAGGCTGCTGCATGGCCCTACCACTGGTGAACATTAACGCTTTTAAGGCGATCTAACTAATCAAACAAACCCGAATTGTTCTCGCTCTACGAAGTTGCGCTTATGATTCTACCCTTGTCCTATAAAAGTATTTACATAAAAATCAACTTGCATTCAGTTTGTACAAAGAACTTACAAATTCTTTTAATAATGTTTAAACATGCTGAATATTCAATGTTTGTGGAGCGCAATAACAAAAGGGATTTACGGACAAACATGTCAGGGAACTGAGCGTAGATCACTTTGAAATAGGGCGGCGATAACCAATGACTACTAATAAGGTGCGCTTATCAAAACAAGACGTAAAAGCACCATTTTCCAGCATTGTTACGGCTACTAAGATTCTTAAAAGCAACACTAAGGAAAACGGAACACTATTTCGACGGATTTGTGCCAGGAGTGATAACATTTAAGTGGTTTTGTGGAAAATGGTAGAGCTAGCATTGAAAACTTTCAAGTAGCATTACCATAAATTCGATAAAGTGAAAATATTACAATGGTTCTAACTTAAACGTATTAAAACTGTTGGACTTCTGAATCTCTTGAAATATGTTGAAACTTGAAAAAGTTTATATTTATTTTTGTCGAGGCGGCAATTAGATATTTTTGGAATTAAGTGGGTACCTTTAAAACCTATAAGTCATAAACCTATCGGTCATGGATCACGTTTCATAATATAATTTAATCATTAACCACCAACTTTATGACATTTAATATCCAATATCGATGTATTTTGCGGTCAACAAATGTGCTCACACCTTTCAACTAATTCTCGATTATCAATTATCTCTTGGTTCATGGTTGGACCACTGTCTGTGGGGAATAATTTTTGAGGGTGATGCCTAGATCATAACTCCGTTATAAAAGTATAGTGACAGCCTATTGTCGCACTGTTGGGCAAAGGCCTCCTCTGTACAGAAGGTACATCAAGCGACCCTACTACGAATTGATAGACCACTATATATTCCAAGTATTTTTTTTTTTGTTATTAGTTTATATATCGCCTAGCAAGTGATAATTTAGCACTGATGTTTGCCGTCATAACCGCCGGCATCGGATGAAGTCAGGTTGCTCGAGTATATCGAATTAAAAGCGAGCGTCCGGTCACTGGACTGCCACGGCTCTGCTGTCAATTTTTTTTTTAGCTGGATGAGCCACTGTTGACTTAGGAGCCTATAAATTTCAAAGGGGTCTTTACAGTTCCCTTAGGGGCCTTTACAGTTCAACTCTGTTGACAAAACTCAATTGTGCTCCTTACTTGTAGTCGAGGAACCACAGGTAGCCGGAGTTGTCACAGTGCGCGTCGAGGTCATCGTGCGCGGACTGCTGGCTGCCGGTGAGGCTCGTGTTGCTGTTGCAGTCCTCGTCCACCCCCGCCGCCCCGGGGCTAGCGGCCTTCAACCCCAGCCGTGGCGGTGGCCCTGGAACGCGATAGCGGCACCGTTAGACTGGACAACGGAACGATCGTTCTGAAAGGCCTCTTAAGACATTGAAGTTGAATGGACGTGTTTGGGGAGTCGCATTTGGCATCTAAGGTCACTGGTTTCCAAAAAAAAATTGCGTTCACAGTGTGAAAAGTGAAACGTCATGGGTTATTTATCTTTTGAATCTTTAAGATTAAAGGGTAGATGTAAGAGTACGATTTGTTAGAAAATTAAAATAAAATTAGTTAATTATAGAATATTTCTTGGTGTCTACATAGCCATCATAAGATACCAAGGTATTTGAAATAAGAATTAATACTATACTAAGAAATATTTAAAAAACTTATTTGTAATGAATTAAATTAAAAGGACAAAAGATGTGTGACTAAAATATTTACTGCGCATGACATTTTTTATACATATAATTTTAAGTAATTTCAGGTTTTATGAATCGGATATTTAAGGACCTTGAAGTTTGTCAATAAAAACGATAATGATTACTTTAGCAGCATTATCTATTTAAAATTTATTGCTTCGTGTTTTATGGCGTCTTCCGCGAACTCTTTGTTTCATTTGCGGACTGTGACTGACGGCGCGTGCTTCTTCTAAATTAGGAGTTTATTTATTAGGCCGTTATATTTGTATACCTTTTATATAAAAAAAATCAAATAAAGAAAAGCTCGAACGTCACCTTTCGGAGAGACTAAAGTTTGATACTTTTTATTGTATTTTTTAAGTACTAAATAGACCAAAATACATTCGGAACAATAGCTTCGCGTGGATTTGGCTATAACAATGGCTTTGAGTAGTGTATCGCGTTTCGATAAAAACGCCAACCTTCCACAGAGCGTGACTATAACAGAGGCACAGTCTCGACGGGTTCATGACAGCGCGTCACAGACTTCTGTATATTAAGGTTACATCTAATCAATACAAGGTAAAGTAAATGTTATGAATATGAATTACGAAGAGCATCAGTTATACAACACCTCCTGATTTTTACCAATATCATTTCCATATTATTAAAAAATGTTAATGTATAATTTATTAATTATATTAATAATTATTTTTAATGTTAATTATATGTGGGTATGAGTTAATATTATGATATTAACGAGACCAGAACGAAAAACTTATGTTTATTAGATTATATTATTGCCATTTGTTATATTCCCTGATAACGTATCGTTTATGAAACTAATTAAGGAGTGATCTACACGTATTTTTGTAAATAACATAAATAATGAAACAAACAAATTAAGTAACAAGGCTCTAATTATTACGAAAAATTATACAAACATTTTTAACTATTGGGTGATATTTTATGTTTTTATACTCATTATTGTATGTGTTGTGTTATTACTATAATTTAAGGAGAAGAAAATCTTTTTATTGATTACGAGACTTGTAACCTTTACTGCTTAACATTTTACCCTTAAAGAGATTATTGTGCAATTTTCCCAAAGAATTATCAAAATTATTCTGCTGTAGTCGATACTTATTATAATTTAATACAATGCTTTTTGTGCTTCACAGTGAGTTGTAAAGAGTTTATTTATATCAAGAGCACGACTTGGTGACGCTATAAATATCATGAATAGGCTGCGCGGCAGAATGTTGTTGGTCCTATGAACGGAGAGGCGTGGGAGAGCTGGACCACTTGCCTTCTAGGGAATGTTGACGGGAATCCAGATAGCTGTTATAAGGAAAACCGAGACAGTCGAATGACCGTCAAAAAGCGTATCTGAGACGCTTTGAAATAAAAAACAATGAAGAGGATATATAGGCGATGAGAGAGATAGAAAGTCCTTAACTTTATCACAATATAACCGTATTTTAGTAACAATTTAAGCTTACAAAATGTTCGGTACGCTTAGCAAAGTTCAATATTACGCTTTTGTAAAAAATACTTAGTGATTCGGGGGTAAGTCTTCACATAGATTATTATTATTCTCTCGTAAAATGGCAATGACGTTCACCAAAGAACAATGCCCATTTTTGACCTGATTGTGTATAGAAGTGAAATAAATATTAAAATTTAGCTAATTTCATTTTATAGTAATTACACTAATCACAATGTTAAAAGAAGGTCGGGAAAAAAATATTTTTTGATATTTCTTTACGCTTATTTTACTTCAAGGGTGAACATATTACCATGTTTTGAACGCACCTTAACAATCCTTTGCATAGGACGTTCCATTTTTCACACTACCTACTTGACTGTATTCAACTTTTTCTGAGTTTTGTACGTGATTTTACGCTTTAGAAAAGTGAGTAAGCACGTAATTAACAGTATTTGTATAAAAATTAAGATCAATCGTATTAGTAGTACAGATTTATCAAAAATAAAATAAATGATTAATGCAGCATGTAATAAAGTTCGCACGGCTGACGTAAATGGATTTTTTTGACATTTGACAGTTCTGCGAGTGACTCATACTCATCGATATAGGCCAGTAATTGTGAGTATTTATGTTTATTATTTTTAATCCCATGTCCTAATCAAACTAACAAAGCTCCTATAAATTATACCTGTGACATAACACAAACAACTGTTAAAAGATCTATATATCCAAAATATGTAGTATAAACTCAATATATGTTTTTTTATTTCAGATTATTGAGGAAGATTACATTTGTAAATCTTGTAATGAACTCTTTATGAGAAGAATAAACCAGGAATTAACAAGCTGTGATGTTGCTCAAGCTTCAGGATTATCTCAACCAGATCGAAGAACACAGTTTTTGATAATCCTTCAGAAAAGCAAAGACAGATAAATGCTATTATACAAACAAGTTCACAACATCACATATTCATGTTTCTACATTGTTAATCATTTGCCAGTATAAAACTTGATACTATTACTCTAGATTATTTCTCTTTTGTATTTTAGATGTAAATTATTATATCTGTTATTAATTGACTGATGCTGTAATAATTTTAACCACAAATAAATACATAATTGAGTTTTTTAAAAATATATTTTTAAGATGAATAATAATTATTGCTTTATTACTTCTTTTGTAGATAGTTTTCTTTTGTAGATATCATAATAGATAGAATATGCCATTCATGCTGGATGTGTTGTAAGAGTGCTGCCACACATATCAGGCATGTTGCTGAAGTTTGTGGTGTTTCTACTACCGAAGATAACTTATTTTTTATGTTTCTGAGATTACGTTATTAGTGAACTTATACTATTTGCATTAGGTACCAAATAAGGCATGCCAAATCCTGTTATGGCGAACATATTCGCTTTCATGAATCACATAGAATAGAAATATGTAGGGACACAGGGGTTTTCTAGGAATAATCTGAGAGGAAGTGGTGACATAACACTAATAAGAGGAAAAATTAAGTCCTGACAAATTTAAAGAAAACAATATTATGTCTACATTTTAATAGAAAATAATGTGTCTGGCAGAGCTTGTATAGTTGAATACTGTTGTAATTGTTTAGTTGGTTGGCGAACCATAGGATGTTGCACTCATGTTATGACTAGTGTGGTGCTTCGGATGAACTATCAAGAAAATATCTTTGTTATGGCAGAATTTTTGGATAACATAGTTATGACATTTAAGTGAAGATGATGATAATTAATAAAGCATTCCACTGTAACATAGTGTTTTATTTTTTCCCCCGTTTTATTAATCAGGTATTATAATATAATTATCGATTATTATGTATTGAAGTGCAGGCCAATGAAATGTGTAGGGCAGATAACTTGGCACTTTTAACTTGCGTTTTTTTAGTTAGTGTTTTTGAGCTGTTGAAACAGCAGATGCTCTTCACTCAATTTATAGTGACAATAATCAAGTGTAAGCAGTGACGTAAGGGCAGTCGGTTTCTAGGAATTCACAAGTAAAAAAGACGTTTTAGACCTTAGATAGGCTAATATTATTATTTTAGAATAAACTTGAGCGTAAATAGTTAGTTCTAGCACATTTATTTCGTTATATTAGGTAACTGCAAATTCTAACATAAAAAGTAACATTTTTTAATAATTTTTGCGCTTCGTAGACCAGCAATCGTAAAACTGACTATATGATATTAATTTACTAACTTAAAGGTAGTCTTTCTGCTATACCTTGTAACTATACATACACTTTCATTATCAGGTTTTTAAATGTATGGGAAGTGGGCATTGTTCTTTACGTTTATATATTTTTATATATTATATATTTAAATTTATATTTGAACATGCATTTAAAGAACATGCATTTAAAGGACAGCCCCAATCGTATATCATATTGGGTTATTTGCTTTGCTTACAAGGCTCATTCGTATATAATAATAGAGAGCACTGGAGTAGAAAAGGCTCGTTAGATTTACACGAATTGATTGACTCATGCTATTTCCATTACCAGACAACTAAAGCGTTTGGGGGCGAAGGCGATTTGGTTGTCGACATTCTGCGCATTCGAAACAAGCGGCTTGCTTCGGCGTTAATTATGCGCAAAATACAGGATGGAACAATCTACCTATGTTTGCTTTACCGTCCGCATATAATGTGGGCGTCTTCAAGGCGAATATGTATAGGCTTTTTCTGAGTTAGTGCGTTCATAACCTTTTAGCAGGGTAGGGGTTAAGTACTGGCCGATTTTTTATTATAAAATCTTATCCTTTAAACGAGCAATTCTTGTATATATATATATATATATATATACATATATTATATATATAATCGAAATCTTGGAAACGGCTACAGCGATTTTCATGAAATTTAGTATGTGCGTAGATTCAAGGGCGAAAAATCGATCTAGCTAGGTTTTATTTTTAGAAAATGTCCTTATATCCCTGTTTTCAGGAAATAAAAAATTTTATTCGAATATGATGGTAAATTTCGCCGCAAAAAAAATGTTATAATAGCTCGGTCGGTAATCGGGCGGCACCAAAACAGACGGCCGCGGTTCGTATCACTTTTTTACTTTTTTTTCTATACCATATCATTGCTTTCTTTATTTATTTTTTTTATTTCCAAAATACATGATTTACAAAAAAAATCGAGCAAAGCGCGGTCATCCAGGTACTATATAATAAAACGGGCAACTAACAGTAGTCGCAACTAGTATATAACGAAACCACCAAACGGACCTAGTTTTGGTAAAAAAAAATTGTATCGAAAACAGGACGCAATTAACGTTTAATTTAATAAGAATATTTCAGACCTCAAGAAGTTTTTAACGTATTTATTGAACAATATTAAGATAATTCAACTGCAGATACGCTTAGTCATAAAATACCTACATCAGTTTTGTCCTTTTGCCACGATTTGCTATACTAATAAAATAATTTTGTAACCATATTATTGTTTGGACAAAACAGCCTGACTCACTCAAAGATAATGTAGCATTTCAGCTGTGAAAACAAAAGAGATCAGTAATCCATTAAGACAGTAAGAACATCTTGATTTACGTAGAGCGATCTACGTAAATCCAGATGTCCAAGTCAACCATTGTGATAGATTTGTTATGCCTTAGCGGTACTCCAAAGTTATGGAATTAATGATCTATTGATAAAACAAATTGCCACTTGGGGTCAATAATCGTCACATATGGCAAGGTGAGACACACAGTGGAGCTCTGTGAGGCCGGTTAGCATAAAGAATGACGCAACGCGTTAGATCTGACTCATCAGTGATACATCGGCTGCGGCTGGGCGACTGAATTGTTTTTTTTTAACCGCCATAATAATACGCCCTCCATAATTAGCTGTCCTGTGTTTCTGTTCTTTAATAACGCGTGGCATAGACACCTACTATATTGTACCCTATTCATTGACGCTGGTAACGATTCCCAATCAAGGTCATTTTTGATACGAAAATAATTTACGATTTTGATTTTTGTTTCGTATGCCACAAAGATGCTGGTATTTACTCTATTCACTATACATAATGAACAGTATAATTAAAAAAAAGGCCATTAATGATGTCGTTTGCAAATTTAAAAGTTGTATCAGTTTTATTAATATATATATAAATGAAACAATAAATGATTGTTTGCCATCAGCATTGCACGTCTGTCGTAGTCGTAGTCTGAATCTAAGTCTGATGTTAAGCCCCGGGCAGACGCCATCCTGTAGTGGGCGGACATACTGCATTAGTTCATTCCTTCAATTTACGGGCTCTAGACGAGGAATGTTGGTGCTTCAACACCGGATTTTAATGGAGACCTGTCAGTCCTAATTAACTAAACTAAGCGAAATCTAATCTCAACAAGGAGATCTTATAAGAAAAGATTGTAACACAAGGTTCTCTAAACGGATTCGGTGCGTGTCAAAGATTAGTGGTCTTGCAGGATATTTTCACAATGATTTTTCCAACCGTCACGTCGTTTCGAGTATAACGATCGTTTCACTAGATGTTTATTGTTTGAGAGGAAAAATATTGCAAGTACGGTCTGTTCCATTTTGTCAGAAACGTTTCTCT